ATCATCTCGCTCAACTTCGAGGCACTTCGCAAAGGTTCTCCAACGTTCAATTTCATGGGATAAGTTTATCCTCTCGCGTTCTTTCGCCTCCAAGTCGGTTACATGTTGAGCCTTCAGAGAATCGACAGTGTCAATAGTTTTGAGAAGGCGAGCCTGCGTCTCTGATGTTCGAGCAATATAGGCGTCTACCCGAGCCTCCAAGCAGGTGATCTACATTAATGTATCTATCAATGATATTTCCCTGATGACTGTGCTATAATCACTGACCTGTTCATCCCTCTTCCGGAGAGCTTCTTTCAAGTCATCTCGCTGATCTTTGTGGCCCATATATACTATACAACAATCGATACATCCAGCCTGCAGCTGTCCGAGTGGTAGATCAAATTTTAATGATAGTTCGAGAAAGCTCAGAGCATCAGGCGTGAGAAATAATTCCCGAGTTTTCACTTTACATGGAGTAACGAAGTCAACTCAGATGGTCCTGGATGTCATCAGATTGTCCGGTGCGGCTGAGAATAGGTGGCCCCAGGGTTATACTGAAGGAGATGGAAAATAACAGGCATGGCCCTCAGCATTTTGTCAGTGTAGGCTAGTACGTGATAGGACATTAATAATAACATTCGACTCCTTGGTTTGTCATTTTCGCATCTTGCTCGGTTCGTTCCAGCTTCTTTCATCCCGAGATCCTTGTTGGTGTACTTTGTGGAGGACAACTTCGCACCATGCTGGTAGTTGTCTGGCAAATTCTCCAAAAGAACACTGACAGCATCGACGTGCTCTTGCGCAGCGGCGATGAGGTTTTCACTGGCAGTGGTGTTCCTGTTGTGCGCCTTACCTTTGTACACATAGGTGCTCATCGTGAAGAATACGAGGACCGGTGCTCCGTTTTCGATTGTCAGCCAAAGGACAAACTGCAAATCATATTCTGAACTGACAAGAATCTTGTTATCAACATAGATGGCGCGAATCGCTGACATGCCACAAAGTGTACACATTTGCGACCACAAATGCCATGAAAACAAATGTGACGATGAGTAGAGAAGACATTGGTCAAGAAGAAAGACAATGAATGCACTGACAAATCCTTTAGCCAAATATTGTTCCGATTCAAAAACAAGAATGAATCTTAGATCAACTCAAGAAATGGAACATCCTCATGGGGCATACGAGAAAAAACCAATCATCAAAAGAAAGCCCTCCTAATGGCACTAGGAGTTGGGGATCGGAGTCGGGCTACCCACGTTAGAAACATCTTCACGAGAGCACTGGCATGCATTCCCGGTCCTATCTTAATCACTCATTCTGGTAAGTCATCATCCTGTTGCGAAAGTCAGATAAGACATGTACTAGTGGCACCACTAATAGTGCACAGTGACTAGTCTAAATGGGTTTCGAGTAGTGCTGCCGCGGTCTGGTTTGGTCTGGTTCAGAGGCAGTTTGACGAGAACCGAGAACCGGACCTTGGTCCGGTTCTACCTTTCTCAATGAACCTTGGACTGAACCTTTGTGAATGGTCCGCAGCGGTCAGGTTCGGTTTTTTTTCGGTTCAAACGTGAACTGGACCCAATGTTTTTTATAGCAAAAAAAATAATCAAAGTACTTGTACTGATAGCTACATACCCAACGAAGCTCCTCAGCCTCTGCTGCAGCAGAAAGGTGCCCGTTCCTATACATTCCTGTGTGATGCATGCAAAAAAGGTGACGGAGTGTCGACGTGCAGAGGCCATGTATGACAAGATCATGATCTCGACTTTAGAGACGAGGTGAAGGTTATTGGTGATGGAGAGGCTAGCAGCGAGGGCGAAAATGATGGCAATGATGATGGGGTACCGCAGTCGAAAGCCACTCCAGAGACTGTTTTGAAGCTTGAAGCTTGCATATATCTGTGGTCTGGAGCTGTTTGCTGGAGATGCTAATACATTGAAAGCATGCAGTAAGCTCAAGCGAGATAGTAATTGAGCTAGGACAACTGGTGTGGACCACGAACATGTGGAATATAATGTTCGAAGATGACGAGTGGAGGGATGGCACCTTGCAAGATTTTGTGGGTATTGGCAGGTTGAGAAGGGCGGGAGGAAGAGGAGAATATGTGGAGGTGTTGCTCGTTCCAATGGAGTATAAAAATCTGGTTATCGTATCCTGTGTATATAACACAATGAAGAAATCATGTTAGGCATTCAAACTTTCAATGTACCCTATCAGTCTGGGCCTAGATTGCACCAAATGGATGCAAATGAGTGTGGGATGACCACACATTGGAATCTGTACATACACAGTGTGTACTATCTCTGAGATTAGACTCCACCGCAACTGATGAAAGCCATGCTGACAGCCAATGACAGCCGAGAAAAGATCAGACTAATCAAACATCAGTCTCAAAATGTGCCGAAGGTAAGAACACTAAACTTACGAAGATCAAGACAATGTCCATGTCAGTAGTGTATTGCTCAAGGAACTTGCCGTCATGTTCCTCTGCGACTCATTTGTACAATACTCGGTCAATTAACATATGAGAAAAATGTACCAAGCTCTCAGACATGGTCTCCCATGCATAAGTATCGATGGGAGGTTCGGGTTTCCATACCCTCAATCTAAGGAACTGGAGGGACTCAGAGAAAAGGTGCCATCAAGTAATGTGAATGTTTGAATTTATCTGAAAATGATTGACTGTATCAGTCCCCCCGAGTCGCACCTTGACCTTGACACAAATTTTTTGCATTACTATTACATAGCATGAGGACCAGGGACTCTCCACCATGGACTTGTCATTGGTGATGATCATTACTGCTTTGTTTCCTCTTGCTCTACTTATACGAGAACAGGATTGCAAACTTCGGTTCTCTGCACTGGCTCAGAGATTACTGTGTAATTTCCTGTCTTCTGAGTTGCAAATTGCCATCAACTCTTAGGCTAGTCAGTTGTGTCTTCCTGGGGATGTATGGAGATTTAGGTAAGTATCTGATGAGTCTTCATGGGATGATATGATGCACGCGTGATTTGCAACCTGAACGGCCCGGGGTTCTCAGTAGAACTTCTCTGACTCGGAGCACAGGATAACCAACCAATGGCAACATGCTGTATAGTACTGACCAGCGCTACATGTTCAATATCTTATAAGTAGTGACCTGAAATGAGGTCGACTCATTCAATAAATCAGTATGAATACTTTTCAAGAGACTCCGAGTCAAGCTGATGCCTTCTTGAGGTTGGGTGTAAGTGCGATTCCTACTTAGTATGGCGTGTCCTGTATCACTGATGTTGTCGTCCCAGTACCCTTATGGTACGGTTGTCGTCTATGATCGCTTTTCTTTGATTCAGTTTGCTTACCTTCACGGTAGTTGCACTAACAGCGCTGTGGGTGAGTGTAAAAATTACCATAATCTTTCAACAATGGCTGAGACTCATGTTTTCACTTGAACATTCAGCTATATGACTACGTACTGTGCATACCCGACGCGGCAAGTACAAATTTCCTGAGTGCCCTAGGGTATACTGATCTGTAGTCGATACAGATTGAGTGTATTGTCGAGTCTCAATGGGGGCTCCCCATGTTTTTCTATCTAACTTGCAGTCACTTGCTCTTTGTATACGTGTTACTGAATATGCTCGGTGAGTGTCTGGCACACATCCCAATTTCCCTCCCTCATCATGCGACTTTCAGCACTTTTTTGGCCTGATGCCCCATATTCTGTACATGCAAATTGGAGATTTGCAGGTGTTCAAAATTAACTCATCCCAATCAAAGGTTTGCCAGTCTTATGAAATTGCCAATATCTGTGAGTCTGGTAAAGCTTCCCAAGGCATGTACTGACTCTGCACCATAACTCATAAGATTTAGGGGTACTGCTGATGTTATTTGCTGAGTGTGGGAGCAATTGGATTACCTAGCAATGATTCTGCACTCTGACATTATTGCACTGGTTCAGGTATATTCATACTCAGGGAATTTGCGATATGGGAACGGGTGAGGTGGTTTACCATATTCCTATTTGTTAGCATCATTGTGAGTCGAATATTTGGAGGCTACAACTAACTCTAGATAATAATGTCTAAATTATCTTGTGCAGGCCTATTTAGTACTGATTATCATTTACATCAAGGAAGTTTGGTTAGCCTTTGGTGCATACAACTTCAAGTTAGACCTTGTGTTTGTTTAATTCCTGACCTCTTAAATACAGGGGAATGCTGGATTCCTGGCACTTTTGGACATGTGCATATGAAAAAGAATGTGTATATAATTTACAGCTTACTGGCTGTTGCTGAGCTAGGTTTGTATTGGGAGCTGCTGCTAATACAAACTTGAACTCACCGCATGCACACAATTTAAGAAGTATTCCTTCTTCTGTTCTATTGCGCTGTCAAGGGTCATGGTGGTTGGAAAACCGACAACCGTTTCATGTGTGGTCTCTTGCAACAAAATTTAATGTATTTCAGCTACAGCTTTGGTTGGTTCTTGCATATCACCTAACACCTTTTGCATATTTATCTACTAAATGCTACAGCTTTGACTCTCGGTGTCATTCTCACAACATTCTTGTTTCTGGTAAGTCAATGTGTACATGTGAAGCCACTCCATTGACGCAAGGCGTAGTTTCCATTTGCACACGTAGTAATAGAGTTTGTCTACTCTCAATTTTGAGGCAATGGTTCAATACTTAATCACTGACAGATACCAAGTTGTTCTGCAATCCATCATAGTCACGTGAATGCACAGGGACTTCTGGAGGTCAGATTGTGCTTCTTGCAGCACCCAGGCAGATCTTTCTTTAACAACGTGGATGGCAAGAGTTCCAGATACCATATAATGGTGCGCTTCCTCTGCTAAATCACCACAATCATACAGCTGGCACTTGTTGATCAAGCCACAGTGCTACTTGGAACATGCTGACCCTTCAATTATGCCGCTTCTATCTACTTGTGGAGTTTATCAATAACAAGCAGCGAGTTTCGGTCGTTATTTATTACAAGAAAACAGGATTTGAAGACTGTTATAATGATATCTATGTATTCTTCTTCTGGAGGGATGTGACTGTCGTCTGCTTAACTGTTATGCCGAAAGGCAGTGATACTGAAAGAGCATCGCAGTGTATTTATATAGATTATGGGAAATCTAGTAACTTCCAGTGTACTTTAGTATGTCATATGGTGGAGCAACTACATAGATAACTCTATCCTAAACATCAATGACTTCAAGCTCATTGTATTCTATTGTGTAATGTGCTGAACCTACCACTTCGTGATCAAACTTTGTGTTGAGCAAATAAATTCTATCCTTATCGACCCACACATCTGCTAACTCTGATTCAGCAGAACCGAACCTTCTGTCCAATATGACCTCGACATAAGGCAGGGATGTTATCAAGCTCTTCGCAGGTCTACCAGTCCATTTGTTGAATTCTGGTATTGTGGATGGTTCTTTCACCACTCGTCCCAGACCCCGCCTGTTTGTCACAGCTAGTGGGCTGAAGTCCAAAACATGTAATGTATACTCCACGTCACCTGAGGCTGATGTGCTGACCAATGCTTGCAAGACTCGATTCCCGCTAACGTGAACTTTGAGTTCACATGAGAACTCGAAAATACGAGTATTTAAAGGGCCCCAGTGTTCCCATGGTACTGGTGCTGCTGCTGCTATTCCTTCAAGGTTGAAGAAAATCCTTGTGGAAATAATGAAGGTCCGACACCCTCCTGTGGTAATGCATAGCAGCTGGTTTTTGAGATCTGAAATGTACATCGCTTGTTGGGCTTGTAGCTGTGGGGAGCTATCAATATGATCCATCGGAAGGAAGCACTGTATATTCAGATATAGGACGGGCATCAGGAAGCACACCAGCAATTATGGTGTCTGGGACATATCCTCGATCGAATAGAGCTTCAAATGCCCAGCAACAATGAGCAACCTATTGTTTCTGAGAAAGCAAAAGTCAATCGAGTTGGGCTTGAAATTCGTGCTGCTGAGGATGCTCTAGACAGCGAATCAGCGCTCAGCTGTCAAGTCTTTCAAATATTTTCTGGCCATGACTTACATTAGATGTCGCTGAGTGTTGCCAGTCCCAAATATCCAGCTGCCACATCTCCTCGAATGGATATGCAAAGGAGTGCCACAAAGCAATATGCCTCCCAAATCCCTTGAGCTTGGCACTTTCTGTAACAAAGCATTTGTCCTTGGATGCAGGCAGCACTGACAAAAACAATGTCCGTCCAGCAGCTTGGGGGTGAATGCCATCCTTATCCAGGGCCCCAAGGTCAATGTAGAGTGTCTTGTCATTCGACTCGAGTGTAGCATCAGTGACAGAATACATGATGGCAATCAGGTTTTGTGCTGGATCCATGAACACATTGAGGTTGTCTGAGTCAGGAACTGACAATGATGTTCCTGCAGACCAGTTGCACTTGACTGTCTTTTGTAAGGGCCTTGGCAGTATTGGAATGATTGCGGCCTGGTCCTCTTCTTAATCCCACAAGTAGATATGCCCATCTGCGATGAACTTCTCGTCAGAGTGCATGTTCTTTGGTAGAGAGACTGTTTCGAAAGAGTGGGAGTCGACTTTGAACTATGCATGAGCTTTGTCCCTCAAAAGTTGTAGGCACCTGGAAACAGGGATGCCAACATTGTCAATATTGGGAACATGGAGCAACCATTGGCCACTGAGTTCGACGATGTACTGAAGCTCGGAAGAGGACATGTACATCTGGTGAAGGGCCTTAGATACCTGCAAGACGATCATTGTAAGTATAAAAGTCCATATAGGACAACAACAGCATCACCACAATCATAAATTGGGCTCACAGATGTACAACGAAGGATATCTCGGCCTGAAAGAAAGCTCAAAATGTTGAGCTGTAGTTCTCTAGGAAGAGAAAAAAACCCTGCACTAGGTTTCATCTCATGGCTCATTAACATTCTCTTAACAAGGCAAGATAGGCAATTAGTCTTGACTAGATACAATTGAAAGATTCAAGCACCTGCTTATACCAACCATACAAGAGGTCTTTCAAACACACAGTTGGAGGATTACTAAGCAGAAGGTCCTACACTATGTAATACTGTTTCTTGACGGAGTTGCTACTACGTATGCAAAAAAGTCCTCTCTGGTTAGGTTTTTTGGCCATAACTAGTATGCAGTACATTTTACTGCAAGTGGGGGATTTTCGGCCCAGGACCACCCTGCCCTTTCTGTTGAGGTACCATGAATCGAAGGAGCAGTCCCATTGATTTAATCATGATATGGCAGATAAATGAACAACTACCCCATAGATGAAAGATACATACATGTCAGTAATACTGGTTCCAATTCTGTACAACCAAATCATGTTTCCTTGACGTCAACCTAACACTGAGTGCGCCATGTTCTTTTAACAACAATGTCACTCGATTTAAAATGGACCTTACTCAAAAAGAATCCGACCTGCCTAGCTCGAACAGGCAACCTCAAGATGAATTTATTCCATTACAGTCTCGCGCTCTTCCAACTGAGCTAAGGTTGGTTACATTTAGGTGACATTTGCCAATCCAAGAGGTTTCAAGTGCAAACAATGCATTGATAAGGGTGAAGATTAGCTGAAATACAAGAGATCAATATCAGAATCTGCTTGAAAGTAAATATCAATATGCAGTTATCATTTGTCATTAAGGGTCATGCATAGTAGAAGGTAAAGTAGAGAATGAGAATGAAAGTGATAAAAATGATGATAAGTTTCAAGAATTCAGATGCATAAGATGGCGGACTCTGCCTTTCACATGATTGTGCATCAACGAGACTTCTTTTCCTTGTCTTCTTCAACAGCGGAGGGAAGGGCACTGGTTGGAGCAGTGGTTGGAGTATTTTTGGCTAAGGACTTATGGACGAATTCTCCAGCTGCAATGTCGAGCGATGTGCAACCCTCTTCAGAGCTAGTTCGGTAACCCAAGGTAAAGTAAATTTGCCAACTTCAAGGATGATGTAAGGCCAGCACAGTAGGTGCCGATAGCTGAGTTTCAACCTTATGATATCAATATTAGTAGGACTTGTTATCCATCGTGCTCATTGCTTTAGGGATAGATATCGATAGATTATGGATACCATTGACCCCTTGCTCCAACAACTCGCTCAAGCCCAGGCTGTTCAGCCGCCAGCTGCAGGCCGTCAGCAGAATCATATGCGAATCCTACATCACATTGCACTACTCGTCAGTGTCCTTCTGACTGCTACACACTCATTGCTTCAGGACTCTGTACCTGAGGCATACCACACATCGGCCCTCTCAGGTGAAGAATGGGTCATGGAACTCATCATTGGTCACCCAGATTGTATGTGATGCGAACTTGGCATGCATGCAGATGTCTTTCACATGCTCATAGCCGAACTTTGTGTTTTGGGTTATGCTAGCTCATGCCACATTTCGCTCGAAGAGCAACTTGCCATCTTTCTATATACGTGTGTTACAGGGCTAACAATCTGTCATGTCGGGGACCGTTTTCAATGGTCAAACGACACCATCTCAAAGTAAGTTTGTTTTTAATGTTATTTATGATGAGCTCACAAATAATTCCAGGTATTTCTGGAAGATCTTGTTTATCTTTGCGTCCCCCCCGTTCTACACAACCTACATACGTTCTCCCAATGACACCAATGACGTCTCCAGCAACATCCATAACAACCCAAAATTCTGGCCTTACTTCAAGGACGCTATCGGTGTGATCAACAGCAGCCACATCCATGCTCGCCCCTCATCATCTGACCGCCCCTCATATCGTAATCACAAAGGTTTTGTTTCTCAAAACTGTCTATTCACCTGCACCTTCAACCTCAAGTTCTCATATGCTCTCACTGGCTGGGAGGGATCCGCCACAGATGTATGCCTCTATGACGAGGCTCGTTCAGGCAGTTTGTATGTCCCTCCCAGAAAATATTTCTTAGCAGATGCGGGATTCCCTTTGTGTGATGAGCTCTTAGTCCCCTACTGCAGTGTCCATTATCATTTGGCTGAATGGGGACACACTAATCTTAGGTATGTTTTATTTATTTTATATTTTAGGTTTTTTAATAACTATTCTATGTTTGCAGACCAACAACCAAAGAAGAGCTCTTCAATCTGCAACACTCATCCGCTCGAAATGTGATTGAGCAGATCTTTGGCGTGTTAAAACACCATTTTCATATTCTTTTGCTCTCACCTGAATATCCTATGACCATCCAGGCATGTATACCTGCCGCGCTATGCGCGATTCACAATTTCATATTGACTCACAACCCTGATGACAACATGCTCCCAGACGACAATGATGAACACTTCAATTATGACAACCCAGAGCACCAAGGGATCCCCGATGACGAGGAGGTGTTTGACAGAGCAGGAGGCATGAAGGAAGTGCGCAATCGTATTGCGTGCTGCATGTGGGAAGATTATCAGACCATTTTGCAGCAGTGGGGCCCGCTAGATGACTCCTTTGAAGATTCTGACAATGATATGTAGCACTATAGCACGACTCTCATGTATCCGCTGCCATCAAAGCACAAGATGTTTGCATTACCATGCTTCAACTACTGCATTATCATCATATGTTGTGTCAATAGCGCATTTTACATGAGTATACTAACTATCAGGCACAGGAAGTTGAAGTCCCAACCGCTGGGCTGTGGAAAGAATAAAAGCACGGCGCATCTCCTTGTCAGCGGTCTGTGTGTATATGTCAGTAGCTGCAGGGTCCATAGAAAAAACCTGTTGTATTATAAGCCGCTCTGCGAACGGCAACTCTGCATCCTCAACCTGCAACATCTGCATGGCCCTCGAGCGCTGGTCCATTACCCGATCCTCAGGATAGACCATACGCTCAGCAATTACATCTGTCAAGTGATTGACAGAGCTCTGGAATCCCATCATGGCTACAGCTGTGGTGGCCTTCGATATCTTGGTGTCCAACATGTTAGCGTTCTTTGTAGAACCACTCTGAGTCTGTGCATGGCCTCCTGATCCACGGCCTGATGCGCAGCCTGATACTGTCTTCGCTCTTTTGATAGAGCTCGACTCGGAGGGAGGCGGCATTTGCATTTGAGAAACTGAGGTAGATGCAGATGAGGCGGTCAGCTCCATGTCAGTGTGAGAATGTTTGCCAGGAGGAGGCATGAAGGACGGAGAAGTAGGAGGAGGCATGAAGGATGGAGAAGCAGGTGTAGAAGTGAGGGCTGCTGCTGCAGGGGCGGTGCTAGGACCAGCAACACCAGCACTAGATGTGGCAATAACGGGACCAATCATGGTATTGTGTTCACCTCTGGGTACGCTAGGACTGGAGCTTGAGCTTAAGGGAGGGGGGAGAGCTATATTGGGTTGGTACCCTGTGCGCCCTTGGGCGCCACTGCCTTGTGGTATTATGCTGTCCATTTGCTTGTAGTGTCTCCATCCCGATGCACAAAAAGGGTGCATGACTGAATTTCCCTATTATCAAACAGTGAGATGCATGAAATAGCATTAGCGAACTTGATGTACCTTCTTGGAAACATATTCATTCCATACTGAGGTTGAAGCCTCGCCCTCGACATTTGCCCCTCTAATATTGTCCCAGTAAACACCAGACTGCTGGCGATACTTCTGAATAGCATTGAAAGTCTGCTTTAACTACACGATCTCTTATCAAGTCTATAAATAAATGATATACTGATATGACTTACTGACGCCCATTTTGTCTTACACATTGCCCCACTCTTCACTGGACCATGCTCCAGGTACTCAGCAATAGCCTCTGCAGCACCATTGTAAGTCACATCTTTGAAGTTGCCAGCATCACCGATCTTGTCCTGATTGTTGGATAGGTAGAGGAGAAACTGATCAACCTCTGTGTCGGTCCAAACAGCCCTCTCTGTAGTAGTATGAGATGACTCCTGAGCCATGGAGAGGATGTGGACTTAATCTGATAACACTATTGATATGACACTAGCCCAGATGTTGTTCCAATTGCATAGATCTTGAGTCGTATGCTGGGGTGTGTGATAGCTAGACATGGGATCAAAGGAAGTTCAAGCTCCAATGTCGGTCTCCAACCGGAAGCTACTGTGCTGACCTTACATCATCCTTGAAGTTGGCAAATTTACTTTACCTTGGGTTACCGAACTAGCTCTCAGGAACCTTGGGTGAAGAGAAGAACCATCCACCAGGGAAGAAATGAGAAGAGGTCATGGACTCCAGTCTGTTGCGGTTGGCTCTGTTGTTGGTGGGAATATCAATGCGAAGGGTGCTGGATTCAGTGACCTCAGCAGCATTAAGCTCATCAACAGCAAACAAGCTTGGCCTGAATGCACAAAGTCAGAAGTAAGGAAGGAAGCGGGGTAAACATGGACTGACTTCTTGTTGGTGAACTTCTGTGGCTCTTCGAGAGCAGGGAATGTCTGAGGGGTCTCTCGGGCAAATGGAGTTCCACTGGCCTCAACGTCGTCATATGTCTCAGAGAGGTCTGAAACAGTCACATTACCCTCTGAGCACAAGGGAGTCTCTGTCATGACAGGCTCATCTACAGATGCTCATGTCTCGGTGATGAGGACAGGTGGGATGGGCTCTTCATCAGCCACAAGTACAGGAATGCTAGAGAGTGGACCAGTTAGATATTCTATTTCATTAAGCTCCTCTACTTCTTCAACAGCATCATTTGGCCCCTGCTTGGTGACAGAATATGAAGGGGTCCATAGGGACTTTGGTCTTTCTCCAACAGGGTCATTGACGGGTGTCAGAAGCCCTGAGTCTGATTTGACCTCAGGAACATCCTCTACACCAACCTACAGATTTTTTAGCAAATGCAAAGCTCAATACCAATACAATCTTATGGGTAGTTGGGTCTCAATGATAAATGAACCATAGTCAACAAACTCATCATCCTTAGCAACTGCTTGATCCTCAAGTGCAGATGCTAGTTCAAGCCCAGTAACTGAGTAGGACAGCATCCAGGGAGAACTACTATGCTCTCTGTCAGGGTCAGTAGTACTCAATTGCTGTTGAAAACACTTAGCATAAATAAGTAGTAACCTACTGTACTCTCGTCATCAACAATGAACGATCCCTGTTCAATTTCCTCCTTAGGTACTTCCTCCACAGTAGGTGACTCGGGTGGAGCCTGTACCGAAGGTTCTGCTTGAGCGATGACACCTTGCTCTGAAGCAACATCCTGAGGAATATCTGACTCATCTAGCATTGCCGAAAGCGTAGCATGTATGTCTGCAATGACTGTGGTAGAACTGATTACTTCGCCAGAAATGAATGCTTCTGTAAAAGAAACAGGTTGCTCTTCAAATGCCTCTGCTGCAACAAACTGGGTAGCACTTGGGGGAAGTTGCTCCAAGTCATCAAGTCCCTCATTAGTGTGAGCCATATTGCCTTGTACAGTCACTGAGCAAGAAGGCGTCCAAGGTGATTTGAGGTGAGGCTCTTCCAGTTCGCCAAGCACAACCTATTCTCAAGTTAAGTCAAAGGCAGACAGGCAATAGGGGTCAAATTGTACCTGTTCCTCTGCCAAAGGTAAAACCTCAATTTGGGATTGTCCATACACTTCCATATCAGCTGCAATCTCTGGAACAACTGCGGCTACTTCATCAATAACAATCTCGGGTGCAGGCACTTCCGACTCGACAGTGGCAGGTTCATGTCCTGCTGCTGCTACAGGATCCATCTCAGCAGTAGCAATGGGTTCGGGGCCAGGGATTGTGACTGGTCCTGAGTCAACAGTAATGGAGTCGTGTGTATCAACAGACTCTGCTTCTGTAGCAATAACAAATTTGACAGGAACCTCAGACACTGTAGTTGGGGCGATGGAAGCTTCCTCTGATTCAGTTGACAGGACATCTGGCCCTGTCGCAGCCTCAGCTGGAGCCGAGATGACCTCAGGAACAAACACTTCCACTTCTGGTTCAGTGGGAGCAGCTGGCTCGTCCTCAGCATCAAAGGCACCCTGTGGCGACTCGTTATCACCCTCCTTTTCTGCTGCAATACATACATCAACCTCTGTAGCAAATTCCTCTGCCTCTGTACCCGCACCTGATATCTCAGCTGGCACAATAGTGTCTACTGCTTCCAACGCTAGCACGGTTTCTTCAGTCAGATCTAATTCGCCAACTTCTGTGACAGGCTCCGCAGTTGCTACAGTATCTTCAACCAGTTCCATTTCAGTGGCTTTTGGGGTCAGCTCCAAAATTACCGCAGGCTCCAAGCCAGGCTCACAGGCCAAACTCTCCTCTACAATGACCTCACGCAATATTGGTTAAATTGGTGCAGCTTGGAGCATCACTGGCATGATGCCTGACTTGGCTGTGGAAGATTGTGTTTCAACCACAGATGCTTGTTCGTCCAATATGATTTCACTTTCAGGAGTGGCCTCTGCTACTGAACCAATGGACGCTATAACCACGGTCTCGATGACTGCAGATTCTTCTCCGACAGACGGAGCCTCCACTTGCATTATGCTTGCTTCCACATCAATCAGGTCACATGCATCTGCTACGATAGCTGGTTCTGGTTCTGCAGTTATAGTAGATATTTCCTGCAATGTCGTCAAGATGAGGGAGAAATGTTGCATTGAAAGCACCACAACTCACCTCTGCTTCAACAGCAGGGGGGACAACAACCTCTTCCAACATATCAGCAGTTGGGCTGAATTCGGTGCTTGAATGGGAAATGGGCATCTCGTCCTGACAGGAAGGCTCTGCAGTAGTAGTGCTCCCAACACCGTTTATGGAAGTTGTAATAAAGTCTGATAGGGACATGTCAGGCCTGGTACTAGCAGCGATAGGAGGCTCTCCATAATCTAAAGAGGCCTTAGAAGCTTCCACAACGATTGTGGCAACATCGATAAAGGGTATTTCTGTGCCTACACTGTCAGTGATTGGTAATTCGTCCTGCAGGCTGATTGTTAGAGAGTGGACACGTCAAAAACATGTCTGCGCATGTGCACACCTTGGGTATCTCTAAATAACTGTACCAGAAATCTCAGTCGTGTCCTCTTGGACGAGCTCTGCAAGACTTTCAGGCTTGTCACATGGGATGATTGTGAGAGTTGTAAGCTGCTCGAACTCTTCTACAAAAAGAGACTTGTGGTGGCCATTGGTGAGAGGCTCGGAGTCATGGATAAGGATGGTGTTCTCCTTATCAAAGTCACTGGCATGCAGGGCAGGTGCCTCTGGCCCCATATCATCAACCAACTTGCCCTGGATACAATTCAGTCACACAGGAGCTACAACACAGCAAAGGGTGGCACACACGACATTGAGAACCTCCACAGATGTTTCCGCCACGAGGGTGTTATCAGAGGAGGCAGTCACCAAGCTATTGTCGGTCTTCTCACTGGCTCTGGAAACATCTTTGGCACCTAGTGTAGGCTCTTGCACACAATAGAAAGCAACCTTGACGACCTCCCCATCAGTCACTAATTGGCTAGGCTCGAAAGAATTTGCACCGTCGTGTAGCTGGTGGCCATGAGATATCAGGTCATCAGTGACTGAAAGCCACAGTAGACATCTTCTCAAATAATGATAGTAGGGAATGTGCTATGAGAAGTGAGAGAGGTAGAGAGATTGCAAAGTTCATTCTTCTGAGCGAACCCGACCAGTCGCAGCTGCAAAAAAATGCAAGCAACATGCACAAAGAAGCTCAACAGAAATTCGCTTCAAAGTCTACTGCAACTGGTCACGTGTTACTATTCAAACCTACACAATCAATCTGGTCACTGTCAAACACTGCGCTCAGTGGTTTCGCAATGGTCATTAATCATTTCCCACCAGGGGATGAGGTTAATAGTGACAAATGAATGATGCTCTTTTATAATGCACAAAGGAGCACAAAGTGGGGCACATTGGAACAAAAACAAGTGACTAAAGTATGAATAATATGAAACGAGGAAAGACAGGTGATATGTATCAAATAAAACAGTCCGTCGCGCGTCATGATCGTGTCCGTACTATCAACATGCTTAGAAGAGAGCAGCACCAATGAGACCCATCACACCAGCAACACCCATTGCCGAAGAGACAGATAGGGTACTGGCAGCGCCGGTCTTCTGGGTCGTACCAGAGGATGCAGTGGTAGTGGCAGAAGTTTTAGCACCAGAAGAGCTTGTACCAGACGCGGACGCGGAAGATCTAAGCGAGTAGATGACTTAGTAGCCGCCAAAGCCCATGCAATAATTGCAACTTACCCAGAGGTCGGAGTAGAGGTGCCACTGGCAACGGCGCTACCACTCGACGAACCACCCTCATCTACTGCTGTGTTCAGGCAGGAGGTGTCGCTGCCAGGCATGATAGTGACGATGTCAGAGTATGCCGTATTACCGGTACTGTCCTTCAGAGCGATGTTACTGGATTCCAGTGTCAGCTAGACATCTCCAAGAATGTCAGAGTAACTCACAAGATAGTGTTAGCTTGAAGATCAACGTTCCACGTATAGGATGTGCCCGTTTGTGTAGCGAAGGATTTGATCTGTTAGAAAATGTCTCAGGACGGCCAGCCAGCTTCAGTATAAAGATAATCGCTAACAGGTGACGCCATTGATTGCCCGCCTGCGATGCGAGTTAATAAAACGACACATAATCAATCGAACGACGACATACCAGGCACGAGGGTCAAGTAGTAGGGAGACTGTCCACCAGACCAACTAAACAAAATGGGCTCTAGAGGACAAGCAATATTAGAGCGTGACACTAATTCACAGCAAAGTACATGCGGCATTCAACAACATTGGCCCTGCACCACACGATGAGCACTCTCACGCGTACTAGGAAATCTAAGAGAGAACACGTACGGTGTGTTGATGGTAAGACCGAAGACAACCGGAACGGCGGAAACGAGAGCCACGAAAACGGTGGTGAGCTTCATGGTCGATATAGGTATGCTGAACGAACGCGTCGCGAATAGCGGGTCGGGTATTTTTTTTATTCGAGAAAATAAGAGAACGAGAGATGAAATAGAACGTTAGTGTTACCACGGCACTCTTAAGGCTTGGCGGAGTTTGAAGTCTGGTACGCTGCCGATACCACGGCAGAATCATTTTTCACGTCCGCGAACTATCGATTTGAACTGATAGTCAGCCTCAAACTGATACTGACACTGAAAATTTTGGCTGACGCTAAAGTGCGTTCACATGCAACGAAACTTGTTGAGGCTAACAAGGCATTTATGCGAGACTTTGTGGAGTTGAAACGCTCTTGTTCTGCAACGATCGTCACGATGAGTGAGACCATATGAAGCGTAATTACACGTCAATGCTTCCGTTACAAATAGTTATTTTTGGGGCACAGACAATCTTGTTATGTAACATCGCATGTTCCACAATCACCCGGGAGCCTGCGTGTATGCGTGCACGACGGTAAAATTTACCTCATAATCCAATCCAACTACTTCGGCCTCCAGGATTGTGTAGCGACGTCTGTCCAATTTTAATGACCCCCGCAGTAGACCTTAGTGATTCTTCTCCACTCTTGCGCAATTCAGAACGCTCTAAAGATGGAAATACATCAACAGCGTCGATCACAGGACTCGGGACCGCAACATGAGTCGAGGTACATGCGAAGAAAGACCCATCCCCTGACGTATCCTCAGAGTGTTCAGGTGACGATGAAGAGTTGAACACGGGCAAAAACGACTCGGCGTACCACTCGTACCATACCTGCCGCTCATCTGTAAGTCGCCAGATTGATACGTGCAGTTCTGAGTTGCTAGGTAGGTACAGAGGTTCCTAGGCGAATGAATCTCAATAAGAACCAGAGCCACTACAGAATGTTGATGATAACACCTACTTTGAATGGGAAGAATAACGGGAACCAGCTCAGCATGTCCTTCGATACCCGATCTTTACTATGCGGATGAATGCTAAGACCAACATGCCCATACAGGACAGCCTCGAAATAACCGGCAAGCCCGTGCATAACCCCAGCATGAGGAATATGGAACGACAGCTTAGCAGAGCGGACATTGTGACTATTTGTCAGGGGTAAGCCTAGACACTCGGCATAATTAGCGTCCATCTGGCCCGAGGGTCCGCTATTCAGGTTCACCTCGTTCATCGACCGTCGCATCTTTTCGCGGATGCTCAAATTCCCAGCATTGTTGAATCATAGACCCGCAGCGGCCTGATACTCCTCCGCCATCCCCACTCAAGATGTTGACATTTTGGAACATCACCACATATGGTGTTTCCATGCCTTTGATTTCTCTACTGATTCGCGCGCTATTGTATAACTTCGATGAAGATAGCGGAGCGAGATGGGCGCTGTACGACGATGGGATGGAGATGCCATCAGCTGGAGAACGGTTAGCGAAATGGGTGATGAGCGTAAACAATCCATACGTTTCAAAAACCTCATTGCGCCGTCGAGACACTCCGGACTTAGCTCGTTATCGCCGAACGAACCGAGTAATTCAGTGATGAGGATGTCCACTTGCTCAGGGAGCTCTACATGCCGCATGTCGCCAAAGAACAGCTGCACAGAGTTACCCCATTCATTCTGTTTTCGGCCCTGAAGCCTGCTTACAGTCAGACGTCAATGTGAAGATAATGAGAGCCAAACAGACGTCACAAAGGCATTTGGGTTCTTCTCAACTGCGTACACGAAGGCACTTCTTCCCGATCTCTTGATGGCCGTCAAACTTCGTTCAACAAGGGGGCCACGGCCTGCCCCAGCAACGCAAATCACACTGCGAAGAAGGGTTAAGCCTTGTAATACATGCCAAATGTGATTCGCACATGTGGTCACTATCAGGCCAGTCCATCAACGCGTGATACACGGCCTACAGATTTCACGTGTCGCTGTACAACTTCGGTTCATAATAGATGAAACGCACTTCTTCATAATTGCGGTATTTCACAGGGTCCTGTTCGAATGTCTGATACGTAATGCTTTGGAGGTTGTCCATCAGCGGCTAGGCAGACATCAGTACGATAGCATGCGGAAATGAGGTGTATATATCAACTTGTAGGGGGTTCTGGAGGTAGTCTTGATAACCCTGAGCGAAGTGCTCAACTGTCCCTGCCGTCATCGCTGCCTGAACAGCCGAGCTTGTCTTCTCGACATGTCGCACATATTGTGCATATGCTGATTCGCCACCTTTGGTGTGTAACCCCGAACTAACCCCTGACATGATGACGATAGGGTGATGCTAGCCGATTCTTGTTTCATCATCTGCCCAATAGCAAAAATACATGGCGAACTCACTGCCATGCTATTGCGTAGAAAGGATTGTGTACCCTTGGGAAGAACAGGGTAGCCCTTCACATTCGCGATAAACGTGGACGCGGGGAGGAATATATGGTGAACGGGTTCAGCCATCCATCTGTTGAGGATGCCGGCATTAGAAGGTAATGGCGGGGTGAGATCGAGCGCTGGAATTCAGTTCGTCAAGTACTGTTCCAAGACGTAAAGTGAATGCATACTGAGCGTCAAGCGTGTATTATAGTCACACAGTGTGCGTATTATGTCCCACATTTCCCAAGTCGCATTTATTTCTCCTTCGGGAGCCCGTGCAGCCTTCAAGGATTTTGACGCGGAAGCTCGCGGTGTCACAATTTTCGGTGTTGATGGTGCAGATGGGGTCGACGATGTGCTCGTTATCGAAGGAGGAATAATTGACGATTCTTTCGGTTGAAAGACAGCAGGATCGTAGATAGGAAGGCGAATCGAGAAGTTCATAAAGGTCGTACTTTTGAGACATTCATTTACGGCGCGCGCATATGATGCGACTTGTGATCGATGCCTAGGTGGAGGTAAAATGACCGTCTGAACATTGAGGTATGACGCGTAAGCCACTTCCTGGCGCAATGCCTGAAAAATCAGATTCGGGTTAGTGCCGAAAAATAAGCTCCGAGAAGATAGCTCCACAACGCCCGTAAACATGATTTTTTTTCACAAAATGGACTCACGATCTCCGAATCATGCCTAACCCAGTCATCTGTCGAGTCAAGCTGAAGCCAGTCCGACACCATCACAAGTACAGGTACCGCCTCATCTATCGCATTGCCACTTAGGATGCACGATTGGTGGTGGTTGATCTCACTTACCCAGTGTTGAGATGGTCACCTCCTCGTGCAGGAAAGACGGTGCTTTCCTCCATGCCTCTGCCTGCTGTTCTGCAGTTGCATTTTCATCAGTGTCATTTGCACTTGCTGATGGCACGATGCACATATTTCTCCATCGCTCTCTCCATTTTGGGGTAGTCAAAGGAAGACAGACAAAGTCATAACCCTTGGTTTGACTTTCCCTGATTAATTTCAGAACTGGAGTCTTATCGGATCCATCAGTGCGTGCAGATGCTTGTGAAATGTCTTCGAAACTGAAACAAGAAGCTAAGCCTGCAACTTGGTCTGCCATGGGGGAAGAGAAGTAATGGTGAGTATCCTAAAAAGGTAATCTGAAGGAGCGCGTGTTTATAAACGCGTCGTGTCGCGTTTTTATATCTGAACTTGTTTTCGTTGGACGCTGAAATCACAAATTTAAGGTCTCCAAACCCTTGCAAGCCCTAGCGACCCTCTTCATTCTTGTTCATTCTTCTACTCATTTCGCGACTTTCCGAATCTCTACGCCCGCAAACGTGTTCGTGTAGAAGGCCTATGTTTTGCTTCTCAGACAAGTCACGATTGATGTCGGGTGAAATAATTGCTATCCAAAGGACTCGTGCCAGCTCATGCCCATACCCGTGGGATCTCCATGGACATATCTGCATGACACAGGTTTTCTGCTGTGCCAATAGATAATCGTACAGAATCACCCCAAAACTGATGCACATAGACAAAAAGACACCACAAAAGCATAGCTTCAATGCCCTAGTCGCCATCGAACACTGCGTCGTCGTAATCAACGAACTTCCTCGGACACTTCACGTTCCCATCTATTCTCGCTCCACGAACGTGAACAGTTTCGATCGGATAAATTCGAAAGGAATTAACGGAGTTGGTGCAGGTTGGCGCTGGGCTGTGCCAAGTCTGGGCACACACCCTTCACTCCGGCTGCGGACATCCGAGTCCCAAGTATTTTAGATACCACTTCCAAATCCCGTTCTCATAACATACGAGGCATGTCTTAAACAAGTAACTGTTGTCTCCAAGGATGGTAACTTTTTACGGATAACGTCCCTCGAGTGACGGCTGATTTGATCGACTGTGATCATGATCAGTGTTTAATCGTTTGCGACGATCATCCGATCGGGTTGTTCGTTTTGAGGAGTGAAACAGCCAGGAGCTATGTACGTAGTACGCACTACCATGGATCCACATTGATGCCATGGTGGCGAGTAGAGAATTAATTACTACCATCCGTTCGAGATCTCTTGACTCCATTAGCTTCGGAATGATGCGCAGCGTCACTGCTATCCGTTGTCATGTCATACCCTGCTACTACTCCTTCAAACACTATTCTGCCAACAACTTGTCTCAGCTCCTCATCAGGATCCCTGCCGTCTGCTTCAGACCGCTGCATGATATCACGAACAGACTGCATAAGCGATGACGTGAGGGACTCTGTTGCGATGTCTTGCTGATATTGAGAAGGTCGCGAGGGCGACACCGCCCCAGGGATCACACATGAGGAAGGATTTAGGCGCGACTGCAGGTATGCAGCAATTTCGGGAAAGTTCTCTTGTAAATGTTCAATAGGCTGATGTATATTTTATATCAGCAAAAAGGTGATAGATGATTCCTAAGCTCACGCACGGAGACACCATCATTATTCTGATGGTCTAAAGTGGATCCGTGGTCCAATAGCCATTGTGCCGTCTCGGTATTTTCAACAGCATATAGCGGTGTATCCCCGTCTTCGTCGGTGACATTAACGTCTCCTCCTGTGCTTGGAAGGTAAGTTTTTTTTACATTTTATAGTCAATGATCTTATCACTGACCTTGAGAGAACAGGTACGCCAGGGTCTCAAGCTGCCCGTATGAGGCCGCAGCGTGCATGGGAGTATACGTGAATTCATCAGGCGCATTGGGCGACGTGGCTGGGAGGGACCGGATCAGACCTGACCATGTGAACTAGTATGAGATGACACCTGCATTGCTGTTCAACAAGTTCCTGAAGGAACGAGATAAGCTTGGCACGTACCGTAAGCGAAGACGAGTTACGTACCCGAACCCTAACTAAATCGCCATCACCTGCAGCTACCCAAATGTTCTTTCCTGGTTGAACTCGTGCTGGGACGGGCATCGATGGGATGGGGCTCAATCAGCGACTGGATATGACTGGTTTGGTAAAAGGACGTCGATAAAGAAGACGTCCCAAAATGGGAATTCAGGCTTAAATACGGGACCAACTTTTTGCCACAATCGGCACACCAAGTGCACAAGCCCTTCATTTCCGGTCACTGAAGATGGAGTCAATCTGCGCCGAGGAGCCCGCAGGCTACGGAAAATTTTGAATGCTTCTAACGGTAGGAAATTTGTGGGAGTTGGTTCGTTTAAAATCTCGGATCTATGCTGATCGGAACTTCCCCTGGGTGAGCTCGGCACCGTCACGAGGATTCGTTAGAATTCAGCATAGCACGCTGTGGTACTGCCTCTCAAATTTACGAATTTTGTGCCTTCTGAGGTATGGAACGGCAGGCGAATTAAACGGAGTCTGAGTTCTGATATAAAATCAGCGGAGATATTTAGTTTAAAAACAAGTTGCACTAAAGTCGAACCTGAAAGTCAATTTTGAGACTATACGGACCCTCCTTCCGTCCTAGACGAATGTGCCCGCTCCTACTAGTACTCGATCGATTGTTGTAACTCTCAAGGCCCGTCGATCCCGAGTTCAACCTCCGTTTGTCCACCAGCTCGGACCCACTGATTGTAACATACTGTAAACTATTATTGGCGGTCTCTTTACGGGACTTCGTTTTTCAAGCTTCTAGCCATGAGCTTCCTCGTGCCAACGCAACGAGGCCTTGAACATGTAACCCAGCCCATGGGCGACTTCTCTTCCATACATAACCAACCAAACAGATCCCATCTACCCCTTTCCTCCTTGGAAGGGTATCCTCATCAGGGCATGTCCGCCCTCTCAACTTCAACACCCTTTCCACCTTTTCCCGACATTGTCATGTCTCAATCTTTGCCAAAAGTTGGCGAGACTAGATGCTGTAAGTTCACAAAAGTCTATTATTCCCTAAAGGGTCTCCAGTCCGATTGTTTCGGAACTTTCACAAACCGATCACAATCCTGTAATTTTCTCTTGATCGTCAATGATTTCGCTAACCACGATTTTGCACTTTGTGGCACCTTTAGACTGGTCTCTATTATCGTCCGAATTGGATTTCGTTTATCTGGATCCTGTTCTTGCCAGTCATCTCGAAACCCAGGCCGACTTGCTCATTGGCAAGTCCCTCCTATCCTTTGTTCACCCCGAAGAGCAGGCTACTGCGCGAGCAGATCTAGCAGAAGCTCTTGAACAAAGGACGATGCATGGTAGTGTTACCAGGTAAGCGATTCTAAGTGTAAGTGGATTTATCCTGACCTCATCTTTTCCAGGGTCAGGTATTGTCGTCTCGCTCGCATCCGTCGCATCCTCGGTCACCAAGGGCCTACTCAACCGTGGCCTGACGGTGACAAGGTTTCCGTGGATGCCCACTACATGGTCGTCGACATCGTCATTAACTGGGCTGCAGAGGGCCTCGTGTTATGCTTTATCCACGCAGTCGTCGATCTTGAACCTGGTGACAATGATGAACATCACAGAACTCCATGGACAAATTGGTGTGGCACGCCATGCATGCATCCAGAACAGATAACGCTATTGCAACAGCGGCTTCTATATTACTTTCCTCAATCAACCGCCACAACTAGGGTATTCCAGATCTTGTTCAACTCTAATTACAACCAGCAGGACTGTCGTCTTCTGTTGAGCTGGCCATCGGACAGCAGCCAGGAATATCCTGGTATGCCAGGAGCGAAAGACTTTGCAAGGCGAGCGGTGGGCATTCAGACGTCCACTCGGGATAACAGTGCGAAGACGAGTTGCACGAGACGTTGGAGAATCCAAGATACAATGCCTGGAATAGGCGAAGTAGAAAGCGTGTTCATCCCTCATGGTAAGCGCTTCCTTGATGAAGTCCATGTGCTTCTATTAAGCAAGCGGATATAGGTTCAATAACGTTTGCATGCCACACCATTCAACAGCCTGCTTCGCGGAGCTTGTCTGTCTCTTATTCTCAGTCTCAGCCGTTCACGAGGTCGACAGACGCCTACATGCCTGCACACAGCCAACATCACCCCTATGACCTGTCGGCAAGCCCGTACACACTCCCGCCTGTGTCTACCTCAATGCCACAACCTTACGGGCACTACACGCAGTCCTTGACGTCCCAATACTCTCACTCGCCCTGGGGGAGTTACTCAGAGCCTTCTTCCTCGCTTTCTCAGTTTAACAGGTGGCCTGCCCAAAGCCCTGCACATTCGATGGCATCCCTTCCATCGTCTTCATGCACCTTGCGCGAGTCACCTTACTCGAGACCATCACCATCTCCAATTTATGGCGAGAACAGAGCGTCTTTAAGCAATTATCAAGCCACATCTAGTCCTGAAGACTACAGTACCAAGGCCACCTTTGAGACCTTCGAGGCTAGTGTACCGCCGGCACCACCCTGTGGTATCGACACTGTACCACCTCCAAGACACCGAGTGAGCCCCGGAACACATAAGGACACCCTGCCACGTAGCACCAACAATCGCCCTCTGGGTGTTCTCAAATGCAGTAGTTGCAAGGCAACGTCTAGTCCTGAATGGAGGAAGGGCCCCAGTGGCAGGAAGGAGCTCTGTAACGCGTGGGTGATGCCACAACATGCGATGGGACTACTTACTAATATTTACTTGTTTTCTGTTTCATTGACCAGATGTGGCTTGCGCTACGCCCGTTCTCGTGCCAAGAAGGAAGGGCACGTGGTGTCAACACAGCGTCGGAAGAAAGACAAGACCGGTGTCATTACGGCTAATGAGGAGTCTGCGGTGCCGTCCACTCCTCCGATACCTATTGCTGGCGCGGCTACGACGACCCGTCGCGGTCCTGTTGAAGGGAACACATATGCTTCCCCATCATCTGTTGGCTCTGGATCTGGAAGTGAACCTTATTCTCAACCAAGCCCTGTAGCACCAGAAGATAATCGACCTTCACCATCGCCTCCGTTGCCTGGTCTCAATTTTGTTCATTACCTCCCTTCCTCTGGACCGTCGCATCATCAACCACGAGTTGATGGTCGTACATTCCCTTATCACGCGTCCAGCCCTTTTCAACCTTCCCCATCTCCGCTATCTTCGGGTCAACTGACTCTCCGTCCACCACGAGGACAAGATGATGTGCCTGGCTCATCGTCTCGCAGCGGGTCATATCACCCTTATCCCTCGCCCTCGTCAAACTCGACCACTTTTGAACGGGCAAAAACACAGGATCGCCACCTGACTTCACTGCCTCCCTCACCAGAGCGTAGCAGATTCCGGTGACCGCGCCCATCAAATCAAACGACTTGAAGCTCATACAAGCGTTATGCGACACCTTGGCCCTGTTTCTGTGAAATGCAACGTTTCGATATTTTTATGTTCCCGGTTCATTTCTTTCGGCCAATGGTGCAAGCACACCTTCCTTGCCAAAATATTTATTGATGCAATTCGCCTGGTTGTTCCTTTTGGACTTACATAGCGCAACCAACACATGGATACATGCCTTGTGTAGTTTTATCGTAGTGGACACGCTAATTTGAAATCATGAGATTGGAAGTTTGGTTGCGGTCGGACCATCGATTGTACTCGCGCTCGCCCACGTTTCTGGTCTTGAAATCGCGATCCTCAAAAACTTGCTACGCCGATCAACTCGCAGATGGCTAAGGATCGCCCTGAATAATTTTCTTTTATGGAGTGTCAGCGTCTAGTCAGCTAAATGATGAGGGAGTCCTGCCTTGACTGATTCTGGGCGCAGCTAAGATTCTATCGTTTAGAGCCATCTATTGGTCTCATTGAACCCATATGACCAGAATTTCAACAAGACTGGTCAAAGGTTTGGCAAACAAGCTCATCATTCCTTCTACACAGCCACAAGAAGCCACGCTTTATGTAAGTAGCATATTAAAGGCCGCTACGGATCTATATCGTTCCTTCCTTGGCTTGCTGACACTTGTATATCTCATCATGCACCGCCGGATGAACAATCAGTGGAATGCGCGAGTCATAAAAAAACCGTAGTCGTTGAGCGGTGAGCTCCGATGCCAAGCTCCGGATCACGTATCTTCAATGACCCGTAGCCCCACAGCTCGTGTTGCATTACCACCTCCTGCGGTAGATGGTGACTCCGATGGGGAAGCCGAGGCGGATGGATCGCAAGCAAATGATGGTGATCTGTTGGAAGACTTTCCAGACGAAACTGACGTGAGTACTTACGCGGTCTTTCGTTGTCTACCTAATTGAGGCATACGGCATGACTAGGAATTAGAACTCGTACACTCGCGATTGAGCTCTTTGGCTAATCTTCGACTTGATCGGTTCGCAAGGCATCTGAAAAAGTTATGCCTCAGACAAAACGCTATATCGTATCTAGATCCAGACATCTTCAAGCTGCTCACGCAGCTTGAAGAGCTTGACCTGTACGATAATAAACTCAAGACTTTGGGAGATGCATTAGACAATATGTCTGCTCTAACGTGAGTAACGGTTCTCCAGCTTCAAGTATCCTGTGTATTCCTATGTTGCCTAGCGTTCTGGACCTTTCATTCAACCTTCTACGACAAGTGCCGGAGGCACTGTCGCATCTACGTTCCTTGAAGACCGTGTATTTCGTTCAAAACAAGATCTCCAAAATCACTGGCTTGGAATCTGTGGGAGCGACATTAAGAAGTCTTGAACTTGGGGGAAATAGAATACGGGTAATTTGCGCCGATCAACCGATCATTCCAAGGGGTAGCTCACGCTGGTACTCCAGCATATCGAAGGGTTGGATGCGTTGGTCAATCTGGAGGAATTATGGCTTGGAAAAAACAAGCTCACTAAACTAGAGGTGCAGTGCTTTCGCACTATCGTTGTTTAATACTCACGGTCACACGATACAACAGAATCTGAGTACACTAGGCAGACTGAAAATATTGTCTCTTCAGTCTAACAGGATCACAAAGATCGAGGGTCTAGATCAATTGGTTGATTTAGAAGAGCTCTACTTGAGCCACAATGGAGTCGAGCGTTTGGAAGGTCTCGAGAATAATGTAGGTATCCAGTCAATTGTTCGCCGTCATGCTTAAGCTTTTGCGCAGACAAAGCTGAGAACACTCGACATTGGTGCCAACTTTGTTCCAGCGATCGAAAATATTTCGCATCTAGCATCCATTGAGGAGCTCTGGGTAGGTGTTTCTTGACTACGACGGAACCCAAATCTCATTTCATGGTCAGCTCAACAACAACAAGATTGCCGATCTGCGAGCTCTCGAACTGCAGCTCAAGAATATGGCATCCCTTGAAACGATTTACCTGGAGGGCAATCCTTGTCAGCAGGCCGAAGGTACAAGTTACAGACGGAAGATAATGCTTGCGCTTCCTCAGGTCAAGCAAATTGATGCCACGTTAGTATTCGCTTTCGATTCATTTCTAGAGCATATGGTTGACCTAGTCTGTAGCTTTGCGAAACCGTTATGACTCATTTCCAACAATTTTCTTGCAACGGAACGGTACTGATTTCAATTAGCATACATTATACTCAGCAATGGGCAGGCTTGTCTGCCGAAGTGCCCAAGACCTTCTAAATTAAACAAACTCATACGCCAATTTGTACTCCCAGGCCCGGTGGGAAGGATATTATTCCGTCTTAGAATTCTACGTCCCTCAAGCTGATTCACATTTCGTAGTTGTTTCCATAATATGAAATAGCTAGGTCGTACTGTGCAAATTGACACACAAATATGCTTGAAATCGACGTAATGATATACTATCGACCATATGTATGATCAAACCCTCAGGCCTCAGGTCTGCATCATGTACAATTCTTCATAATGCAGATACGCCAGTGAAGGGGCCTGGAGGCAGGGAGGTGGGGTGAAGCGAGGCCGGCTACTGCACCCCCGCGGCATTCGATGTTGCCGAGACGTTGTTTGTCTTGGAGTAGTTAACATATAATCACCGTAAAATGTAGATAATCATGCGATCGTTCTGCACCGGCGTAACCTTGATCGATACCATTTACGATCTCCTCGTGGTCTGCACACTGCCCGTAATTTCGGCCTGCATCGATTATTATTGGATACGCTCAAGTGACATTATTCATTGTTACATATCTGGGAACGCATACAGCGTGGTCCTGCAACACTGGCCTCTGTATCTCGATTCTCGGCCGCCTGTGGAGAATAGCTCCAACTCAAAACATGACGCTTACAATACTCGGGTTTGTACGTCGGTGAATGAAATCATCGAGCTAAAGAGCCACAAGGTAATGATATATATGGTTGTATCATCGAGTCAAGATTTAAGGAAACCTTTCTATCTGAAAAACTTTGCTGGGGTTGGAACTCGTCTTTTGTGACTTCGTTTTGTCTCTACGGCCCACGTACGTTACCACCAGCGTAGCTTGCGAGGCTAGACGCAGGCGTGAGGAGCGCACACTCCAGGAGTGCGGCATGCCATATGAACGTATAGACATCCGGGAGTTTCCGGTATAACTGTACAGTTTGAAACTTTGGCGAGTGAGCCATACCCAGGTAGTCGGGGGTCACGCAAGATCCAGCAAGCATCCAGCAACATACTATACGATGGGGAAAGATCGCGGTAGCTCTCCCGTGTACATGTATGGCTCATATCTCATTCCCTACTTTCAGTTGGCGCCTCTGGAAAGAAATTCCGTATGACACTTGGTCTCCCTGTTGGTGCCGTCCTCAACTGTGCCGACAACAGCGGTGCCAAGTCACTATTCATAATCGAGCCTTATGGTTTCGGTGCACGACTGAACAGATTGCCTGATGCTGGTGTTGGTGACATGGTCGTTGCATCAGTAAAGAAGGGGAAACCTGAACTGAGGAAAAAAAGTGTGTATTGATCCTGCACCTTGTATCGATTAATTGTACTGATGAGATCAACTTGCAGCTATGCCCGCTGTTGTTGTCCGCCAACGCAAGGCATGGCGTCGGAGAGATGGTGTTTTCTTGTACTTCGAGGTACGAGACAACCTTGTTCCCCTTATTACATATGTAACCAATTCTACAGGACAACGCCGGTGTTATCGTTAACCCCAAGGGTGATATGAAGGGCTCCGTCATCGTTGGCCCTGTCGCAAAAGAATGTGTAGGTTTACATTTCAAGATGTGGAAGATTAGGTCTCTAACGCTAATTCTAAGGTTGATCTGTGGCCTCGTATTGCAGCTAAGGCTGGCTCTGTTGTATGATTTAGATATGGTACAATCGCATTTTTTTCATCGTCTCACTTCATCAGTAACTATTGGGCAAGTTATAGTAGGCTAAGCAGTCTACTAGTCAGTCTCGACCTATGGTAGGACAGCGTTACTTCAATGGCCCATCTATTGCATCAATAGGCCCAGTAATGCAATTCGCTATCTGTGAATGCATTCAACTGTGGAATTCGAAAACAGTGACCATGCGTGCATGATAGTATGACCGTCGTCAGTTGCATTTTAACTCACCATTTCTGTCTGCGTTTACTTCCGGACTGCAGCTACCATATGCCGCGATTAACCTTTTTTGGCTTTCTGTGTGCCCTTGATCTAAAATGAAATGCTAACCGAATGTCATCCTCTTCCCCTTAGCGTCTATTAGGTACTGAACAATCATAAGATACCTTTGATTGGTGCAGTGCAGCTCACGTCGTCCGCACACAACTTCTCGCGTTGTCGCCCTCGCTTATCCGGTTCGTACAACACAGGCGGTTGCTAGAATCGCTAGGCGCTCTTCATGTCAAAGTCTTTCGGAGATGGCTGATGGCTCTGCCTTCCTTCGGTTGGTGGCATGCATCGTATCTCAGTTCCATATTGCCCTCGACTTCCCTTCTGTGGGCACATCAGTCATGGCCAGTCCTGTCTCCTCGTGTATCATGCATCAGACCTATCTGGAGCTCCCCCTCTTTCTGCGCATCTCTTGCGCCACATTTTCCTAGATAACTGATTTAAATTAATTCTAGGGACCCTGTGGATGAAGCATATATCCATTCTCGCTTTACACGCTGCTCGTCTAGTTAAAGGTTTCCACACTAATACTCTCTTCCGAGTCCCAAGTATTAAATGGCAACACGCTAGAACGGTCTCGTCCTTGGTTCGATAACGGAAATGTTATATTGTTGCACAAGCAACCGCCTTCCGTGTGATTCAAGGAAGTGACCGAATTCAGCTGTCCGGCTGTGAAATAGTTCGCTTACCAGGTCATGCGGATGATGTCCTGCTAGCTCTTTGTGATAGAAGGTACTGTGCCTTGGTCATATAATAATGGGCCGCCTCACTCATCACACACTGTCTAGCTATTTTTCCGGGTCTGAAGAAGTCCCTATCAGCATGTTCTGATTAAATGTTAATTCATTACAGCCATGGGATGCTGATTAGGGGAAGGGGTCTTTTCACGATTTTTATGTAGCGAGCAAAACTTTCCCGCGAGGAAAGCTGCCTGGAGAGATATATTGGACCACCTACATAAGAAGAGCTTGCTACTATGAGCCAAGTTGCCAGACTATGACTTAAAATGTTGCCTTGTCTATTTCGCAAGTTTGTCCGGCTATACGTGTTTCTCTTGCTGATGCTTGCTTTCTAAGACGTAACGTTATATGTGATATCGAGGCGCAGGCAGCGAGAGAGATGCGCAAGAAATATATCGATAAAGAGCAGAACCGAGAACTTGATAGTTTGCAAGTCATGTGACACCTACTATAGTATGCTAGTAATATCATACAGCTGTAGAAGTTCTACCAAGACTCCATAATTCAACAGTAATTCACCTTCCTCGGATGACGGCGCCAACTAACAAAGCCAGAGCAGCAGGTGTCAGCGCGAGTTCATTCTTTGACCTCAAAGCAGAAATCGCCAAGAAAGAAGATGAATTTGCTCGGACCAAAGCTGCAGGAGGCAGTAAATACACGGTGGGAGGTGTCAAAAGACCTGACAAGGTGAGCGAATCCCGTGATTGACACGGGAGGGCTTGAATACAAGCATAACGCAGAAACCGACCGTATGGAGTCGCTCTAATAAAGGCGTCCACAATCGCGCTGCGCGCGACATAGAACTGGAAGAAGTCAGCAAGGTGACTATCGAGTCTGGGCGGGCCGTCTTGGAGAGGAAGGCGAAAATCTACGAGAAATTACGCAAGGGAAAATCTGGTGGCCTTACTGACAAGCAGTACGAGGCTTTGCTCGTCGATGTATGTATGCTACTTGTGTTCGCTGAGTGGCTTGCTGATGTCCAGAGTCTAGTTCGACTCTCGAGGACCTAGTGATCATTTTGAGTCGGACAGTGATGATATGGATGAATCATTGACGGTCCCTGAACAGCCTCAAGATGACGTAGGTACTTTTAATGGAACCTCTCGGATTATACTCATGGAATGTTTAGGATGACCCAATCATTGAATACGAAGATGAATTTGGACGACAACGGACAGGACGCAGGTCCGAAGTTCCTCGGCACTTACTTCCGCGTTCTGAAGATACAGAACCAATACCGGATGAAGACAAGTAAGCTAAACAGCGAGTCCTCATCATCCTAGTCTTATTTTTTTCTCGAGGGACGTCATTTACAATCCCGTCAATTACTTCCCGGTATTTGAACCTTCCGCGGAGCGCATCCAAGCAGTTCAAGATGCTTACTCGGAAGACAATAATCCATTGTCTTCTCACTACGATGCTTCAAAGGAGGTTCGTGCTAAAGGCGCTGGGTACTATCAATTTTCTGGAGACGAAGAGACGAGGAGACAACAAATGGAAGAACTGCAGTCAGCGAGGATAGAAACTGAGAAGATAAGACAAGATGCTGGTGCAGTGGATCTTAAACCAGGAGAGGTGGAGGGCATGCGTGACGATAGTATCACCGCAGGCGCATCGAGGAGCAGGGCGATGGAGAAGCGGAAGAGGGACATCGAGGAGAGACGAAAGATACTAGATGCGAAACGCAGGAAGGTCAAAGGCGACGAAACCCTTGCAGGCCGAGGTTTGGAGCCCGATAATTCAGAGGCTGTGACGTTGGAGGCGCAAGACACGTCTGGACCGTTAGTGGCGCTGGAAAGGCAGACAACTGATGCTTCCGACCGTCACAAGAGGAAAGGCAAGCAGAAAGGGACTGATGACTCGGTACCAAAGACAGAGGCAGATGACTTCTTGGCCCAGTTAGAACGGGAAATATTAGGAGGTCGTTAACCACCCCTTATCGGTGAGTTAATTCTTGCTGGATAGTCATCTGTGCTTATCAAATATCTAGCTTTGACTTTCGCGACAACACAAGGTTGTCATAGACCTCCAGATTATGCCAAGGCGTGACCAGTGTATGCCACCTACTTGTGTCTGATGGAGGAAGGTACTGCTACAAAGTAGAACTTTAAATCACCCACTACACAGTCCGTCGTGAACAGGACGTTCGCGCTCATTGCCTCCAGTCGATGTACTTATGTGTAGTGCCGCTGATATACAGCCAGCAAACAATCCCCCCGCTTGTGTAGCTGATATCGATAGACACTGGAACCACGAGTGTGGTATTTCGAACACCATGAATTCTAAGCTGGAGTCCAACAGCCTTACAAATTTGAACCTATCATGCTACTACTTCACCCTTTGCTTCGAGCACCAGCCTCTCAGGACAAATCAAAGAGAATCTACCCTTGTCCTCTTTAAATTCCACACACCAAGTCCCTCGACGCAAATAACGTCTCTTCAGCGGCTCTTTGCCAGAAACAACATTTTCCATAAATTTCCTACACGTCCTGAGCACCTCAAGGGCAGGACGGAGAGCAGTAGCGTGCCCGCAGTTGATCATCACATTTTCAGAGTCGGGTTGCGTTTCCACGAGCTCGATGAGTTGATCAATGGTAGAGAACCACACGGGTAAAGATCCCCTGGTTGGAAAGATGATGGGATCATCTTCATATAGAGTGTCCCCGGTATATAGCATTTTCTCGTCTGCATCCCATAAGGCAAGCTCGTCAGGAGTGTGCCCGGGGGTATGCAAGACTGTGAGGCCCATAGATAAACCTGACGATGAGGTGATCTCATGTAGGTGTGGTACCAAAGTAAGCTCATAAATCGGGGCTCGTAAGCCCAGAGCATTGCATTCCGAGTTTGCAGGGAAGTTCTCTGGAGAGACGAAGGAAGGCGAGTGACTTGAGCCGAGAATGGGGCTGTCGGTGGCGAACGGTTCCACTCCAACTTTAAGTTTCAGGGAGTGATCAGCAAATTGATGAGCTGAATCAGGAAGAATACCCACGGATATGATCATAATGGCAGTGGCTTTCCACCACGATATACTTCATCTTCCCTCCTTCATTGAGAGGCTTTCCATTGTTATCAGGAACATTGACGGTCTCGATGAACTCTCTTAAGCTCTTCAGACCGATCTCCGGATTATGTGTAGCCCCACCGCATCCTGTATCGAGGATGAGGATGGTCTTAGCGGATGGGACTACCTTGGCATAGATGAATGGGTGTTCATTGAAGACGTCATCCCATTCGACGATCAAGAAAGTAGTCTGCGTCAGGCGTCGAGCAGTGAATGCTGGCAATCGTTTGTTGTCTAAGCTGGTTCCTTTCTCCATATCGTCCATCATCAAATGAGATTTGGAATACAGACTTCGATGTGCCACCGAGTAGAAAGATACAAAGAGAACACCAGCTAAAAAGACCAGTACTGATTCCAGGCCTGAGCTCATCCTGGGGAAACGTTGAAAGTCAAAGCACGATGAGAAGACTGTAGTCTTATCTTTGAAGCATGCTCACCTGCAATGTACCACGAGACTTCTGAGAGATATTTCTGGCGATCTTATCCACCTGACACAGGGCAGATGATAGCGACTTCTTCTCCTCCCATCAATGTCACCTCTTCAACGTTGTCCACCATCTCTGCATTTACGCTCCATTGGCTAGACTGAAGGATCTTGTCTAGGCCGACGTCCGGATGCAATGACGCCAAGAAACTGCTCAATGAGGAGAGTGGGTATTGCAAGGCAGGGAGGGTGACCGATTGTTCCGTCAAGCCAGTCGCTGTTGAGGCAGCAGCAAAGTAGAGAACGGTGATTTCTGGTTGGCTCATGATGGTTGGCTTTGGCCTAGTCTTCCCCAGGCAGACCCTAGTAGGCGAATCATCCTAAGATCTCTATTAATAGTACACGGACACGATGCTTGAGGTGGATCCAAGGTAAAACACGCTGAATCACGGCTGCCTTCTCGACCCCGTCAATTTCACATCGCATGTCCAAGAGAGTACTACAAGAAACTACACACTATACTCTATAGTATATCTAAGATACAAGTCTAATTATGCAATAATGTAGGAGCGTATGTTCTCAGTGTTCCCGTAACTCCGCACACCACCAGATTGGCTTGGAGGTCTTGATCGTTACGTCTTGTCCTGGTACGAGATGATTTGATGTGGACACAAGTCCATCAAATGATGACTCTGTGTTGTCCAGGTTCCACCGCAGCCCAGTCGTCGTCAGGATGGTCGAGTCGATGCCGACAGGGAGGAGCCCACACGTTTGTCCTAATACGTCGTGGTTGATGTGGATGAGATGTTCACCCTGAAATGGTGAGATACAGCACTGAAAAAGTAACTTGACTTACCTCATCAAGAACCCATCCTACGTTATCGTCGGTGACTGTAAAGACGCGTTTGCGAGTCTTACGAAGCTTGTGGAGGTATGATAGTGTATGTACAGTCTGATCCAACCTTCCGGAGAGACCTCCCAGGATCACAATCTCAAACTGTTCGAAGGATGAATTATTCAGGTAGTGAACAAAAATTCTGGTTTTACCTCCCGTCCAGTTAAGCGTTCTTTCTCTTCAAGTGCTTGCACGCATTTCATGAGGTCCGTAGAATCTTGGTTGGAATCGTAAATTACTGGTACATTCTGGGGGACTGTTAAGACAGTGTCGATCAAAACACAGGCCTTACCAGTGAAGCGTAGTACAATCTAACATCGTCCCGTAAAGAGTCGAGATCACCCTTCACCATATCAGGGAGAAATCTAGACTTGATGTCACTAGCCATACACTGCAGCGCAAGCTAGACTCGGAGCTAGACTTACGAGTTTCGAAGGTCTGGATGACCGCTTGTGCCCAAGACATCATATAAACGATTAGCGCCGCCGTCGGCGCAAGAATGCCATTCGGAGGTGGCCCAGAGGGTCTTTAACAGGCTAACACTAAAAGGTTGATTCAGAATGATGAGTGCGCGCGGGATATCAAGGTCTTTGGAAGCTCGCGGGTCCAAGAATTGGGTGCACCATTCTACGATCATGGCGGTAGAGGAGGTTGGCTAGATCCAAGGCTGTTCAAGTCCATGGCAGTTGATTCCCCATAACCTACACCGGGAAATTTACAACGAGCCGAACCGTGAGAAGCTTGCCATCTGACCAGACGTAAATAACTTACACAGACTGAGCCTTATAGAGACTCAATCGACTCGGAGCATCGCGGCGATGTCAGACACAAGTCCCCCCGAGCAAAGTAACGAGCACATGCTCCAGGTATCTCTTTAGTGCTGGTAATCTAGTGCGTGGTTAATGATTTTTTTTTTGATTTTTAGTCAGCACTGGCGACTGCCTTCCAGTCCACAGACATCGCGCCTAAATCTGCTGCTGCTGCCGCCCCGGCCGCTCCTGCATCACTCTCAGATGCACCTACAGTAACTTTGGAGGCACAAGAAGATACTGAAACGGCCGAAGAGGACGCATGGAAGGGAGAATATGAGGCTCAGGTAGAGGAATGGCGTGCTCAGTCAGCCGAAGCTCGTGCTAAAGCGGAGCGCGAGCGCGCACGGTGGGAGCAGATTAGGAAACGCGAAGCAGAAGAACGGCAAGCGCTCGGCCAGGAGCCAGAAAACTGGGATGCATTGGGCTCCCATATCACGTCCTCATTCGCCGCTGCAAGCGAAGTACTGGCTTCCTCGTCTGCCTCCCTAGCCTCGACCTCCCTTACGGATTCTGGGCATCTTGTTAATGAACAAAAGGGCCAGTCGAGTCATTTACACGCCCCTCAACATCTTAAGATGGATAGTGGGTCTCCGTCGCAGAAATGGGAACATATAGATTCGTCTCCCACTTCTTCCTATCCATCTATGTCGTTTCCCGAAACATCTATTCCCTCATCACCGTCTCCGCCGCATGTTTCACTTCAACAAACGACAGGACGTCATCAACCTCAGGAGCAACATTCTGCAGAACGCAAGCCTTCCAACGTGCCACCCTCCACCATCCCATCCTTGCTTGACAGCTCAATCGCGCCACGGACACGAATTAATTTGCTGCTTTCTTCTCTTGCGATCAATCTATTCCTTCCTTTTGTGAATGGGGTGATGCTAGGCTTTGGAGAAATATTTGCCAAGAACGTCCTAGTGGGGTGGATGGGGTGGAAGTCGCAGAGCGGTCGCACTGCTACGAATGTTGGTATTCGGAGATGATCTCCGTCTTGGTAGTGTGCATACCCACCATGTACTGATCATTGGAAGCGTCACAATGTTCTTGAATATATACACTTGATGGATTTTCACACAAGCAGTCCTAAAAACGGCGTTTCTTGTATTTCATCGCGCCCACCATATTACTCTGGCTTGTGTGGATGTGCTTTGATCTGGTGCGCTCACTCATTTATGTCTCTGGTATTTGAGTTCAATCTTACCTTACAGGTACATTTGGAAGTATCGTTGCGGCCTAGTTGCTTCTTCGCAAGACGTGTTCTGGAAGCACTTGATCTTTGTGACTCGGGCGTGGAATGGTGCACCTCAAGCCTACAATCCAACCTCACGTCTTTCGCGTTTGTATCATTCACACTAACCTTTTAGTGCCAGATTCTTAAAGACTCTCCGGGTCGCCTGAAAATGGTGCCCGATGATTTCTATAAGCGGCCCGCCACAATGTACCAGTGATCCATGCTTCCCCGCAAACGCGTCTCTATATGGCGAAATCATAGAGCTCCTGGACGAAGTGAGTCGCTTTTCGTAACTCATGTTTCAATTTGGCGTTTCATATCCGGATTGATGACCCTGCCTTCGTATTAACATGTGTAGGTCAGTCCCAGGCAAGCATGCTACTAGTCAGCGCGGTACTGCCCGCCTTGCATTCTATCACACAAAGAATGTAGTAGATCGATGTCTTTGATAGTAGTGAAGAATGGGGCACTTATTACGATACAGCAATCCAAGGGGTACCAGTGCCTGACGACTTGTAGGTGTGACTATATGTGCTCAAGATGGTCCAAGATGATCAAAGGTCTGGATTCCAGAACCACAAATTTTGCGCCCAAGAAGTTGGAACATATAAGCACTGAGAAGACCAACTTTGTAGGAAAGTAGGACAATTTTGATCATCGAAGTAGTGGGTAAATATAAATTAAGGGCACGAGGTTTAAGTGCGTCAGTGTATAAGCTCGTGGAAACCCCGACATAAGGTCCTACTTTGTCTTCCCTACCATGTCTAGCGCAGGGGCAAAGGCTGTCTTTGTTACATGCCTCATCGTCAACGCAGTTTTGTGGTCACAGAGTCGATATGGCCAATCCTACGAACAGTCTCTGCCGCAGTCCCTTTGGAAGCGGAATGGGCCCGGGCCAGCGCTGATGACGACTGCAGAGAAGAGCTGCTCTCCTCTATCCTACTCGGACCTTTCGTTACAATGTGCACATGTTATGGAGTCATGTCCATCGCCTGAGACATTTCTGAGCATTCCGTACTTGTCCTACTACTTCTGCGCTTCCCCACCCTTCCGGCCTCTGATTTTCGCTGGATTAGTGCTCTGGCTCCTGTTTCTATTCAGCACACTCGGAATATCTGCATCTGATTTCTTCACTCCGAACTTGGCAACAATTGCGACCTTCCTAGGTCTTGATGAAAACGTCGCTGGTGTCACCTTTCTCGCATTCGGAAATGCCTCCCCGGATGTGTTCAGCACTTTCTCCGCTATGCGTGCAGACTCAGGAAGTCTTGCCATCGGAGAGCTGCTCGGAGCTGCCTCATTTATAGTAAGCGTCGTGGCAGGCAGCATGTGCATCATCAAGCCATTCAAGGTCGAGCGAACCCCATTTCTGAGGGACGTCGGCTTCTTTACCTTTTCCGTCATTATATTGCTCGTGATACTCCACGATGGCCGCATCAGAGCAGGAGAGTGCGCATTCTTGGTAGTCATGTACGTGTGTTATGCCGCAGTCGTTGTCGTGGGGAGCTGGTGGGAGCGGCGGCGCGATCGAAGGGAGAAGCTTGAAGCTCTTATCCGAGCAGAATATGGCGAGGATGAAACTGTAGTGGAGCCCTATCATGACGTAGGTGCGTGTCTGTTATATCATTTCACTCCTACCATTCTATTTTTGTTCATCCATGAATATATACAGTTACCCCTCCCGCTGACACGCTTACCGTGCCTCTCTCGCCACCAACGCGGCACCGGGCATCATCGTGTCCCCAACCTCCACGACTTGCACTCCCAAATTCACACCCTCGTGCACTGTCATCCTCTTTCCATGCACAGTCCCCTGGTGGGGACCATACTCCCTCACCCCTGAGTTCACCCCACCTCTCGCAGATGCCGTCCTTCTCGCTGGTCGGGGCGCTCGAGTTCAGACAGGTGGTGGCAAGCCTACAGGCACACGCCACTTCTAGCAGCTTGTCCATCTTTGACAGCCCCATCACCCCCTACGCGGGTGGCCACTACCACCGACATGGCGGGAGCCATGCAAGCCGCACTCCATTGAACGAGGAGGACCTCTGGGACTCAACGTTAGGAGGACTGCCTCTTGATGAGCGGAGTCCCAGGCTACTTGTGAATGACATCATTTCAGAGGGTCAAGAACCATCATCGTTAGCGATCGACGTGCAAGCACCCACCTCTGCTTCAATGTCACCCTTTCCATCTATTTCTCACACTCCTGCATCACCAACGGACACCGCGTCTACCACGACGACAGAAGTGGAGCCGTATGTTCCTCCGTCGAAACTCAAGCGTGCATGGCGGGTCGTGAAAAAGACGTATTACATCCTCTTCCCTGCGCTACATCACTTCAGAGAAAAGAACACACTAGGGAAAATAGCGAGTCTTCTTGCCGCGCCTGCGGTGATGGCACTCACGCTGACTCTACCTGTGGTCGTGGTCCCATATGACTCTAATGGATCCGCATCGGAGAAAATGCACAAGCGCCATCATAACGCCGGTGAGGATGGCCGGTTGACGGACTTTGAGGAAGACGGTATTGAGCGTGCGTTGATTGCGGAGGAAGTGATGCAGCCGGATCTCCACGAAATCGAGTTTAATAAATGGCTGATGGCTGCACAATGCGTCCTAGGCCCTTTGTTTTGTTTAGGGGTGTTATTCCGTGCGTGTGTTCTCTCTTTGCCCACTTCCCTTTCCTGCCGTTTTGGACTTTGAAATGTGAGCTGACTGTTAATTTGATTCAGACGATGCGAATCACTTCATGTTCCTCGTGTTAGGAACAATTGTGGGCGGACTTGCAGTTGCTGTGCTTGTGCTCGTGTTTGCGGATGGTAGAAGCCACCCTACTGCACGTATGGCCCGGTGTAGCATGGGTTTCTTGGTTTCGATTGCATGGATTATGGCAATCGCTGATGAGGCTGTTAATGTGCTGCAGGTTCGTTCTATATTCTTATCCTATACACACCTCCCATCGTATTGATGACCTACACAGACATTTGGTTTCATCTTTGGACTTTCGGATGCTATAATCGGCCTCACGATCTTCGCAGTAGGTAACTCCCTCGCGGATCTCGTAGCAAACATGAGCGTAGCTGTAAGTCTCCTTCCCTTTCTCCCACCCTTCCACCACCTGACCCACCCTTGAGGTCTTCGCCCCAATCATGGGCTTCTCTGCGTGTTTCGGTGGACCCATGGTCAACATTCTTCTCGGTGTCGGCATCTCCGGCTCCTACGTGATTTCGCAAGCTGGTGGCGAGCCATACACACTACACTTTTCAAATACGCTCATGAGCAGTACACTCGGACTACTGACATTGCTCATCGCAACGCTGGTCGTCGTCCCGCTGAACGGGTACGTACTGAGTCGTATGTGGGGATTTTGTTTAGTAGGTGCATATTTCGTGGTCATGGGAGTGAATTTATGGGTGGAACTAAGGTGGTAGAGGGCTCATAGATGGTGAGAGGAACCATGTACACGTTTAGAGTTTGATTCTGACAACCGGTATCTAGGGTTTACTATCGAACGTGTTAACTTAAATATCCGGCATCTAGTGCCACAGTGCTTTGATAGACGCTAACTCTGCATGGTGTATACATACGCTCAAAATTTCCAGGAAATTTTCATGAATGGTTTCACTTATCGCGCTCACGACCTACTCTGCTTCATTGTAGTATTCATGGGGCGTGGACAGACAGGTCGTCTTGTACGAATGCCTCGTAGCTTGAAGACTTAAACTCATCTTGGTTGTTACGTTGAATACTCCTATAGCTATCATGAACACTTCCACACGATCTTTATCGAAATGAATAGCGCAAGGAACGTTCATGCATCATATCTTTGCAGCATGGCAACCATGCAAGGAACTAGCAGGTAAGCGATTCGGTTATATTTCGAGCTAGCGTTGCCTCATTGCTAGTAGCAGTTTTCTATCAGCGTGGACGCGTGGCCGATTCAGATTGTACACAACTTGATCTAGTCCTCATGGTCTCCAATCCTACCGTGGCGCTTTATTCAGTTGCTCCATTTCTGCAACACAATGTGCCCTATTACATAGGACAGATCTTGCCCCTACTCTCCCTGGAGTTTGGGGATTCAACCTCGACCGGCAGTGGTGGACTACATCTGGCAGTTAGATGTTCAGCTACACGCGAGCTTGAACTCTTCGCAAGCTGACTTTAAAACGAGAAGCGAGGTTCTCGATCGGACTGGAGGACTGCGTTGGTGAGCTATACAGTTCCTTTTGTGATTTTCTATGTGATAGACAGACTTCACTTAAAGGACAACGACGGTCACCTGCTAAACCATGCCCACCATACTTTTTGTATTCGCAATTCTAGCTATCCCAATAATCCTATATCACTGCATGTTTCTGACCAAGAATATGTCTCAGTGCTTACCACGACTCCAACAGACTTCAGAACTTATAGTATCTTCCACCATAAATTTTTACTCTAATTAGCGTGTTAAGCGCTGCATCTTTCCTCGATCGTTCGATCAACTAAACTTGCTAGCACCGCAGTGTGCCATCAGGGAAACATAACCTTCCTTTCTTGTAAAAAACAAAATACTTGTAAACAGGAGTCTTGAAACTCAACGCCAAGTTCCGGCACCGATGCTACCAATCTAGAACATTACAGAATGTTGTCGTCCGCGACTCCAAACAGAGAGAACGGCATGAAAATCTCAACAGCAAGTAGTAGGAACAGGTTACACTCAGCTAAACAACAATAATGCGTCATCGCTTGCGTCATGTGCTGCGTCAGCGTGCTGTAAGCATCCAGCGTTGTTGACAAGTAATGTTACCCAAAGCGGCATACTGGCATCTGCCAGATTTCGCTTCGCCTGCCAAATCACTCCGAGATCGACCATATGTCAATATATTCTCACCGTCTCAAATTGACGCATAGTCAGACTGGTTACGAGTCTAGGGCCCTGCCCCGACGGACAGAATCAAAGAAAATTATAGTTGCCGACACTAGTAAGACTACCACTTGGAAGCCGAACGGAGCTCGGACCGTTGTCCGGAGTAAGCTGGAGACACACACTGCGGGTGGTCCTACTAAGGTGAAGTCCTTTCGAATCTATCTTGACCTTCCCCAGAATGTTCTGTTGAACAGACTGGCTGCCTAGTACTGAAACTTAGCGCAGCGCTAACGAACGATCTGATCCCGGACTGCAGTAATGATATTGCTTGCAAGCAGCTCATTGATGACCGTACTGAGGCGATACTACCTTATTCTGATAGGCTGACACCGACCTTGTGATTTACCGTGTCCGACCAGCAGGGGCCGCAACACCAATGATAACATTGGTCTCTTGTGCCGTGCTGCCTCTCCCTAATTATATAAGTACTTGGCCTACTGCAAGTCTGCCCCAAAGACTGTTGTCGAAGTGTAAGGATTGAATATCCGGCACTCGAAGCTGTCCACGTGACTCACCACATTACTGGTTATGTTGTGAGCGTAGATGGCCTTTGAAACATAAAAATTCAAAATTCAAAAATTGGTATCCGAGCGGACCGAGCCATGCCGCTTTCCATTTTCTTTCATTAAACTTACCTTGTGCTCTCATTCTACGATACTCGTTTCACGACCAATATCTTCGACCGCACCACATCTCGTTCTGGCCTAGCCTCCCGCTCGAAAACGTGTATAAATCGCTCATGTACATTGATACCGATAGTGAATTATACTTTCCCGCTCTCAAAGCACCTCAGAAGCCTTCTAGAACGTATTCAACGTCTCATTACTCGTCTAACACTATCATTGCTCTCGTCTCGTATCTAACCGTTCTGTTCACAGTCCCCATCGAACTCGTATAGCCGCCTTACAAAGTCACTTACCTCTCCATCTCGTTATTCCAGCCATTGGATTGGTGTCCGAGCTTGTGATCATCAACTCCTTTATAAGCCACCCTGTTGGACGTATAGCGTGGTGTAGCATGAGCCTCTTAATTGCGATCGCATGGATTATGGCAATCACGGAAGTGGTTATCAATGTTGTTGCAGGTATGTTCCCTTCAATCAGCATCTTGCTACTGTCGTTCATACACCCTGGATATATCGCACATATCATCATACTAACAGATTATTCTACACAGATATTTTGTTCCGCATTTGGACTCTTGGATGTCACGGTAGTACTAGTAACTGGTCTCACAATCCTCGCAATGTGCAACTCCCTTGCGGATCTCAGCAAAACAGACATGAGCATGGCTGGCGCAAGTCTATTTCCTTTCCTCCCACCCTCGCATCGCCTGACCACAACCTTCAGGTCTTTCCCCAAATCATGGGCTTCTCCACATGCTTCAGTATGCATATGGTCGAATTTTTCCTCGGCATCGGTATCGCCGGCTCCTACGCGATCTTGCAAGCTGGGGGCGAGCTGTGTATACTATATGGTTGACGCGTATTTATTAAATTTGCGGGCGGAGCTGACGTGGCAGTCTAAGATGGTGAGAGGGATGCACATGTCCGACTTTTTTGAATGAACAACACTTGTACTTATTATTATTGTTATTGAATACCTTAAAGGTTATGCGCGTACCGCCTACATAATAGCCACCTACTTATGTACACTTCCATCTCCCTGGATCATCTTATGTATACTACTTATCGCCATTTATACGTTGACTTATCTAATTGCACAAGGTCGCACCTGTTTATTCTCTCAGGCTCGCATTATCTCAGAGGGCACATTGGTTTGATATCGTGCAAGTAACGGTAATCATTGTCACGATATTGGCAGGAGCTGCAGTAATTTTTCTGGCAGTGTAGTCATCACAACAATGAGTGTCATATTTTATTTATACCAACTCCTCGAGGCATCAGGGACTCGGAAATATTCTCACAAGACCTATCATGCTATGCAACATCTTCCAGATCGCACAGATAACTTGTCACTGTCAGGCTCATTGGTAACGGAAGTACTAGACTTATCGTCCTCGAAATCATGATACTCATCTGGGTCGATATAGCTCTCTGGGGTTTTCATCTTGGCTATACAATTTGGTTCCAGGCGACCAAGCATCGCCTGCACATATGCGGTTTCCTGTCCTTCCCAATCTAGCTCGGACGAAGGCCCCCAGCGTTCTTCCACCTTCTTTGCCAAGTCCCGCCGTCCGAACCTCAGTAACGAGAGTATGACAGCTCGTTGCGCCGACTCAAGCGCACCCACAACCCATGCATGATGCGCACTCGAGGCCTCCCCCGCAAAGTGCAATTTACCGTCAGCAGCAGGACGCGCGAGGTACGGGTACATGTGCCTGAACTGTCCCGGCGCAAATATCGCAAATGCCCCACCGGAGAATGGGTTATCTCTCCAATTATATGCGTGATGCGTGATGTATTGTGCTGCCAAAAAGTCGTAGGTAATCCCAGATCTGGCGTGTAAACGTGCAAGGTCCCGCAATACAACTTCCTTGAGCCGCGACTCCCCAAAAGGTGAGTCCCGGTTAATCAGGGTCCCCATGCGTTGAGCATCCTGACCAATTGTATATGAGGCGATGAGCACGGCTGGCTTCTTCGGGTCATCGTGAATACTATGGGACGGATAGCAACATGTGCGGATTGGAATATCACCGAACGATATACCACCCTCTGTTATGCCGCACCGTGTAATCCACCATGGGGTCTTGAACTTTATTGCGACCTTGCAGGATGTATCGTATCGCAAACAACGCAAAGCATCTCTTTGTGTAGGGTGCAACTCGGCGTCAACAAGGTCCATGCTTTGTGAGCAACTTAAGGGAGTGGTGTTAAAAACCGAGTCATACTGACGGATGGATGATTGACCCGATGGAGTGACGAATTTGACTTCCACTTTCGCATGAGTTCGATTCAAAGCGATGCGAGTGGCCGAAGTGCAATATTCAGGTTTATGGGGAGCAATCCTGTTCAGCATAGCAGAAATTGCAACTGACGAGCCGCCGTCTATGCACTTCCATCCATAGTCCTCCCGATCGTGGAAGTCTGAGCTCATAATGACAAACTCGGTAAAAGATTGGTCGAAGAAGTCGCTGGGGCTTATATGAACGTTAGTGGGAATCGCGGTGGAGTCAAAGCACCTCGTACGCAATATATGTCTCTAGCCATTGACTGGTATGATAATCAAGCTGCCTAATGGGCATTTAACATAAACGATGGAGAATTATGGAGCACCAACTCACATGTACACGCGCAAGTATTCTCTAATGGAGTAGTCGTCTACCTCCATGAGTCTTTGGAAACCTTGTTCGAAGTCTTCCCTCAAAAGTTGCAGGTAGGGTGCTGACGCCTGCTCGAGGATTTTCTGAACTCCAGTAGCCACGAACCTAACCTCAAATATCAGCGCCCCACTCGTGTAAGAGAACAGAACGGCCTCATACTCGTCTGGGACCATGCCACCATTCGTGACACTAAACTTGTATGGGTCGAATTCCGAAGAGTCCATAGGTGGGCCCAAGATGCTATTGAACATCATCGAAGTGTTCTTACCATTCACGTAATAGGGAACCAAGGGAACATCCAAATCTTCGAATAGAGCAAGCGCTCTGGTGTCCATGTTAGAATTGTGTTCAGAACCAAAATGCCCTGCTTACTTTTTCATCATCGGAATTTCTGACCAACGCATAGCCCCTACGTCATAGTAGTCATGGGGAGTCTCACTGAATCTATGGGTATAGAAACGTCCCCCAGCATGGTCCGAGGCCTCCACGAGATCGAACTGTATACCAAGTTCTTTCAGAATCATGGCGATATATAACCCAGCTACTCCAGCACCAACAATACAGAATTTGACATTCAGAGGAATGCTGGCATCCAGATGAGCTCCAGAAGGACGATTGGCGCCGGACAACGTATCGTTCGTACCACCTAGACCTGAGAGATGAATAGGTAGTTCTGTATTGTGAGACTCGCGGAGAGTGCAGAGTTGGCGAGAAATGCTCTCGTGAATGAGCTGACGAGCGTACCGCGCTGTAAAGGAGAGTTTGCCCACTACCATGATCAACAAAAAGTGAAAAGGGATACTGGACAGTAGAGATGCCGAGAAGGAAGGCCCGTTACTCGGATCCGAGTTGAAATTTCAGAAGCGAGGTCATGCACATAAATATTGCACAATCAAATTGCGCGTTGACGTATTCGCGGAATACTTAACGCTCGACCCACGATATCGTGCAGGCGGGCCTCGCATTGTACGGGGTCGCGTCCACGGAGTGTTAGTGCTTTCACAGACACGAACTTGAATTAGATTGATCAACGCTTTCGTACTCCGCGTGTTTAATTTCTAGCCTCAATTGCTTTTCGTCTTGATCTGACCGCGAAGATGTCTGCAGTCATGGATGGATCCCAATGTCGTTGCGCACTGAATATTGAATCGTAGCATCATGCCCCCTCCTATCAATTCTACTGGAATTACCGAACAATCCCTCACTATTCAACACCCAGACGGTCAGACCCCATCAATCATAACATCCAATTAAAGCATCTTTGGCGCCTTAGCTACGACCTTCTGAGTCCAGAGGCATCGCACCCTGATTTGGACTTCCCAAACCGACCACCGAAGTCCTGTGCTCAGGCATCAAGTGAAACTCGATCGCAAACTATCATCTGCTGCTGGACTTGGGCTAGGTTGAACACCATTCAGATAAAGCCATGCACGCTGACCATCCGCGTAACATTCGATCTATGACATTGTGCAGCTGGCAGCATCTTGGCTCGAAAGGCATGTTGCAATGCTCCCAGCCGCGTGAACCAACGCATCCGTATGAAGAGATGGAGATGACGCTGATAGTATATGATAGTGGTGCCGCACGCAGTGGCGGCGCCTACATACAACCAGAAAGTGCGGGATTTAGTCAGTCTGTATGAGGTCTATGCAAACTGGATGAAAGTTTGTGTCCTGTCAGTAGTTTTCTTGGATTCAGGAAGTGCCAGGAAGTCTGTCAAGGCTGCCGCACGATGTCGCTATCATCCCATTCAATTTTCATACCGCCTGCCTATTATCAGGGTCTTTACCTCGATGATGCCTACGAGTCTCTCATACTTACCGGTATGTCTGCTATTTCCTCTACGTCTTTTTATTTCCTACCCGCCTGCCAACTCCATGCCGTTTGTGCAGATCCCAGTCCACGGCTGCCATGTCCTCTCTCCAGGTGACTAGAACCGTGACGGAAAGCTGACAAGGATGACAAGATTGGTATGACAGTTGACATAGATGGCGGAATGCGTGATGGTGGCTGAACGTAGACGGCAGGGTGGTTGCAATGACGAAGACAGACCTTTGACCGCGCGGAACTCCGATCATAGACATCTCCCCAGACGTGCTAGAGTTTGGCGGGGAGTCTGCGCAGACTTCATACAGACTGGCGATTTCCTACATGTCCTCATGCAGCTACGACTACTGCACGCTGCGACACGCTCTGAGCCCTGTACAGCTGCAACTTTAGACAGTCCTTATGATATGGCAACGCCGCAGCGGAAGACTCCTCGTAGTCACCTAAGAAGCTAGCAGTTTAGTTCTTCACTTACTTTACCAAACTAGCTCTGAGGGGAGCAGGCGGTGCGCGCGAGGGTTGCAGTACCCTGACCCAACCCTGACCAATTCAACAAGATCTAGGATGCTGCCGTCGCAAGCCCTGCAAGAAAATCGTTTGTGGTACTGTAGTACAACAAGCTTGAAATGTCCACGATGAACGTTCGATGGATAAATCGGGAAAATAAATTACATAAATAGGCCGATACGGATGGTAGCCGAAAATGTATCGGTTCAGCGTGTATATCATACGATACATACTACTAGCTATAGTTGGCCTGGATCGGCTTGCCATAACCCAGACTGTGAATTGATACAGCCATACGACACTGGATCAGGCCATTGTAACTAATATCTCACAATCGCCGTCAAGCACCTTAAATACCATCTTCATCCGCTAGTACGCCCGCGATGTCCCAATCCACAGGCAAAATGAAGCTTGCAGTCCTTACTTCGGGAGGCGACAGCGCTGGTATGAATGCTGTCGTCCGTGCCATTGTCAAGATCGGCATCTTGAGGTGTGTTCCGATCATCACGTCTGCATTGTGTTAAACTTCCACCAACATTTATGTGACAGAGGCTGCGAAACATGGATTGTACGGGAAGGATACGAGGGGCTTGTGAGGGGCAACACCCAGGCGCATTCATTGCATACAGACCTTCCAGCTGATGCGTCTGCACTAAAATACGCTCATCGAGGAGTACCCACTAATCTTATGGAAAATCTCCGTTTTGGAGATGGTGACCTTCTGCGAGATGGAACAGGTGATCATCACCATGGCCGCACATTGAAAGGTCGATATATCGTTCGTGTGGGGTGGGATGATGTCAGAGGTTGGTTTGCTGAGGTGCGTATGTGGATGTTCCCCAATGACATGTGTATGCTGATTATTACGCGGCAGGGTGGTACTCTCATTGGAACAGCTCGATCGGCAGCCTTTCGTACTCCAGAAGGTCGTCTCTCTGCTGCACGCAACCTAATCAAAGAGGGAATTGATGCTCTTGCCGTCTGTGGAGGTGACGGTTCCCTAACTGGCGCGGACCTATTTCGCTCCGAATGGCCTTCTCTCGTGTCACAGCTGCTCACTCAGGGTGTGATCACAGAAGAGCAGGCAGAGAAGCACGGACATCTCAAGATTGTTGGCCTTGTTGGCTCGATTGACAATGATATGAGCATGACAGATCTGACCATCGGTGCACCGACAGCATTACACCGTATTTGCGAAGCCATCGATAACATTAATTCGACTGCTGCAAGTCATTCGCGTGCATTTGTGTTAGAGGTGATGGGGAGACACTGCGGCTGGCTCGCCTTGCTTGCTGGCGTCAGGTACGTTGTGACTACTGCCGATATACAATGCTTATGGTAGTTCAGTTCTGGTGCAGACTTTATCTTTATCCCTGAACGCCCGCCTCAAACTATCCCTGGGGGGACCTGGGAGGATGACATGTGTGAAGCCATTCGTGGCGTAAGTTTAGTTCCTCTCAATCTCTGTTATTGTCTTAAGCCTTCCTTACAGCACAGAGAAGCTGGCAAGCGTAAAACAATCGTCATCGTCGCCGAGGGTGCGCTTGATGAGAATCTTCAGCCTATTCGTGCAGAATACGTCAAAGAAGTCCTTACTGAACGTCTTGGGCTTGATACGCGTGTCACAACTCTTGGACACACCCAACGTGGTGGCAGGCCTTGCGCTTTTGATCGGATTCTGGTAGGTCTTCGTGACTCATTCATCCATTATCATTCATTGCAGCTCGATTCAGCCGACACTACAAGGCGAGGAAGCCGTTAAGGCACTCCTAGAGGCCACGCCTGACACTCCTTCGTACATGATCGGTGTAAGGGAGAATAAAATAATCCGTGTGCCACTCATGGAGGCGGTGGCGATGACCCGTGCGGTAGCTGATGCAATCGGCGCAAAGGACTTCGCAAAAGCAATGTCCATGCGTGACCCCGAGTTTTACCAGAGCTTGGAGGGTTTCTTTGCCACCTCGACGCTATTCAAAGAGAAGCAACTGCCTCACTACAGAGTAAGTTTATCATATTCAATCAAGCTTAATCTAATATCTTGTTGCAGAGAATGCGTGTTGCAATCATGCAGTACGTCCTTGTACACTATACCTCACAAAATGTGGTCTCATTCTACGTAGCATGGGCGCCCCAGCTGGTGGTATGAATGCGGCCACCCGAGCTGCAGTACGTTACTGTATCAAGCAAGGTCATCACCCGCTTGCAGTGCACAATGGCTTCCGCGGTCTGCTTGACGACAACATTCACGAGCTTTCTTGGCTGGGTGTCGATGCCTGGACCTCTCGTGGCGGTTCTGAGCTTGGCACAAACCGTACCCTCCCAGATGTTGACCTCGGTGCAGTGGCTGCACGTTTCCAAGAACACAACTTTCACGCACTCTTGATGATCGGCGGTTTTGAGGCATTTAACGCGCTCCTAATCCTTGAGACTGGGCGGAAGCACTACCCTGCATTCCACATCCCAATGGCCCATCTCCCGGCTACGATATCAAATAACGTGCCGATGACGGAGTTCAGCTTGGGTAGCGACACAAGTTTGAACGCGCTTGTTGATGCATGCGACTCGATCAAGCAGAGTGCAAGTGCGAGTAGGAATCGGGTGTTTGTGGTTGAGACGCAAGGTGGCAAGTGTGGGTACCTTGCCACCATGGGCGCGTTGGCCGTGAGTAATCTGTTACTGATGTCCGGAGAGTCTGAATTTGATGAGTGGGCTTATTCAGACTGGTGCCAGCATTGTCTACACTCCGGAGCAGGGCATGAACCTTGACACCCTTCGCCAGGACGTTAAATTTCCTGAAGATCCGCTATGGGCTAGATGCCAAGGGCAAGAGTGAAGGTCGTATGGTCATTCGGTTGGTTTGACTTTTTAAATCCAAATGGTGAACTTGCTGAGATGGTCTCCCAGCAATGAGTGCGCGTCGACGGTCTACACCACTGATGTCGTGACGAAGATGTTCAAGGAAGAAGGCGGTAACCTTTTCGATGCTCGTTCCGCCTCCCTTGGACACACCTTACAGGGTGGGGTCCCATCACCTATGGATCGCGCACGTGCCGCGCGTCTATCTTTGCGATGCATGGCATTCCTTGAAGAGCATCACGATGCCCTACAGAAACAAGTTGGCAAAGTGAAGCAGGCGCCGCCTGAAAGTGCTGCAGTTATCACAATACAAGGGTCTGCTCTTGAATGGGTACCGGTCCAGGAGATGGTGCAACACGCAGATATGAAGAACCGCAGAGGAAAGACAGCTTGGTGGGCGGAGATCAAGGACCTTGTGGAAGCACTGGTCGGACGGCCTGAAATTTTGTGAGTTACCCAGAGGAACAGGGAAATCAGTGTCGTATGTGTTATCTTTGTATACGTATATAGGTGTTTATATTCGCTTTCCGGTTTATTGATAGATGGTTGGTAGTTACAGATACGAGCAGAATGATATCATTTATCCACTCAATCGTCGTCGTCTGGCGCGTACGACCCAACCTCGACGTTGTCCAACTTCTGGCACACAATGTACAGGTAAGTCAACTTTACCATGGGTCTGTACTTACTACTTGGTAACGATTTGAGACCGTGTAATGAACACAAGTGGTTACAGGCAGCCCAAGCCTGTAACCAGGTGTGGCCATTTGTCTTGTGGATGAAAATCATAACATTCTGTAACCACGATTGTGAACAGGCTGATAACAAGAGTGTGAGCACCATTATGTCCCAGCATGATGGTCACGACCACAACCACTGTATGGTCCATGTACAAGAGCATAGAACAAAAGCGGAGTGCGAAACTAGAGGTTTACACAGCCACATGGTAAGTGTTGATTTTCGCACGGCGCGTTTTAAACGTGACACCGTTTTATATTTGCAGCTACGGTTCTGTTTTCCCAAGTCTTTACTTTGTATCTCTTCTAGCTTGTCAATACTCGACATTGTCACCATCTACGATGCCTCCAACGATATTACCACCACGACCTGATCTTCCATTCAAACACCAGAATCCTCATATCGCTTCTCGTAAGTCCTTTTTCAAAATGCTTGTCTACATCCTGACCCTCGCCTAGTCGACCTCTCTAAATTGCCTCCTGTTAAATATCAGTCGCTGGATCGCGATGGCCATGAGGTTTTGGTACGTTTGCCGATTATCTCATCCTTATCACAAGCTGACCCCTCCCAAGGTGGGCCGCATGAAGATTCCTACAGTACGTTCGGTTAAGTTCAATTTGATAATAGTTGATAGATCCATCTTTTCTAGCCTGGCGGCCATGCTTTCATATTGAGACGTTTTGATACGGGTGCTATCAGTCTGACTACTATGTTCCGGGCCGCCTTCCCCACTGCTTCTGAAGCTGATGAACGTCGCGAAACTGTCTGGGTAAAGGATACCTACGATCTCACTGGGAACAATGGTTCCGCTAAGGAACCTACCATAGTGCGTCTTGCAGGAACATGGGTCAGCGCCGAGGTCGCTCTCCTTCCTGAATTTGCACACACATATGGCTTGGGGGGCGTCATTCCCCATGTCGCCAAAGCCACCCCCGACCCTTCTGCAGCCTACCGTCGTTCTTCGACAAAAACGACACCCAAAGCGGTGCCAAGATCGTCTCCTGCTGCAAGTAGTACACTCCCCACTCCTGCTCCGTCAATCACACTTCCGACCCCCAAACGCAGGCGGGAATCTTCTCCTGTACCGGTCGCAGATCCTGCGCCTTCCACCTTACCTCCTCCACGCCGGTCGGCGCGGACAAAGAGTCCAGCACCTGTCTCTGCCTCCCTACCTGCCAGATCGCCCGTCAAGCCCAAATCGCCAGCGCCTCGCTCGCCGGTACGTCGGTCACCGGCACCTATCTCGCCGGCGAGTAAGTCTCCCAAGCCCAAGTCATCTGCGCGAGCCGTGCGAATTATCGAGGTTACTACTCCGGGGGGGTCTGACGAGACTGTTGTGGAAGACGAGGCGGAGACAATTCAAATTGCGCATCCGAATATGTCTCAGGACATAGCCGAGCAGAAGGAGTTGATTGAGCGGTTGAAGGCGGAGAGAGATACACCGTTGATGGAGACCGACACATTGAAGCGCGCAAGGGATGATGAAGATGAGAGTACAGAATTTAGGTTCCAGTTTAAGGAACCAGAAGTGCAAGAAAGGCAAATTGCAACAAACAAGCGGGTTGGAAGGTTCCATCTCGAGCCAAGGCAAAAATCATTTGCATGGGGCGTCGCGGCATTCGCGATTGGAATGAGTGCAGTGTAAGTGTTTACCCATCTAGCTCTTGTCCTTATTTACTGACGAGAATACAGATCATTCATCCCAAATATATTCTGAACGTACATCTGCTTGTCTTATCTGTTTTTCTTATTATCAGTTCTCGTTTCTGGTGTCATCCTAACACCTGTACGTCTGCTCTCCTGCGACACATTTTCTCCCATCATGGACCATCATAATGTCCATTTATTTACCTTTCCGTAGCCAATTCCGGATCTTCGGTTGACTTATGTAGACCGTTTCTATTGTTAAACGTCGATTAGGTAGTACTGTATGCTGGTGATATTGGAATACATACGCAGATAACCGAAGGGGTATGCGCTTTCGTGAAACGTCTCGGTTATAATTTGCCTGTGGAAGTACAACTCACGTTTGCCGGTTACCATGTGTGTTTGGGGTATTTAGCAAAGGCTGCACACATCTTTGCAAGATCCTGTACAAATTGAAGCCAGTACTACTAGTACATCGGATGATAAAATTTCTCCGAGTCCTTCAAAATCCGTACTCCCTGGACTGCAGCCGTCCTTTGAATCATGTGCGCGGCGGGCCGCTTCGTTTACATATGACATGCTGTTGTTCGCTTCCGGTGATTCACAAACATTAACCTTAGCCTCCATCATTTGCACCCCGACATGCACGACTTCATATGGTGATGAAGCGCAGGTGTAGAATCTCTTGCCTGTGAATTTACACCATTATTGATCCTAAAGCTGCCGTGTAGCAATGTGAACAATCTCGGTTCGATATCTACCGAGCGCGAGAAGGCCTGAGTGTTCGGCCTTTCCGACTTCTGATTGAGATTCGAGATCTATCGAAAACGTCCATCGGCTCCTATCCTTTGCCGCAGTCGTCTCACATTCTTAGTTCTTCTTGGCTGTTTTTCTGACAATAACGCCGGTGCGTAGCCATTGATATTGGTCGACATGGGTATTAATTCAAGGATTAGTACCCTGTGCTTTTTTGCAGTCACGGTTGGTGCTGCGGATGCCCAAGTGCCTCTTATGTTACATTTCGACTTAGATAACCTAGTTCAATTGGCCTGACCCCTGAAATTTTCGGGTGAGTCCGTAAATACCCTTGATATCTTTTCCCCCCGCTGTCTCGGGGCAATTTTTCTCAGCAAAGCGCCTCGCGTAACATAGCAGAAATGTTTCAGATCGTGTCTGTGCTGCTCGGATGGAAGTTGCCAAGGTGTCTGTCGTGTGGTTTTTAAATGTCATGGCAGAATCTTTTTGAATTCCGAGTCCCCAAAGCCGTTGGTGATGATAAAGATGACAAACAGCTGATTGATTTGCTTTATCTGACCTGAGTCATGTATCTCTGTCCGTCATTCATTTTGGTCCTCAGAGCACATGCAACTGTCAGCAGTATGAGAAATCAACCGCTAAAAGCAACTGATATTAATAACGGATAACAACTGCAACATAAACGCACTGGGACGAGCGCATTAAGTAGTACTGGACTTGATAACGTGCACATCTTGCGAGCTGTAGTGTGTCATCGTCATCATCCATATTTTTGGAACGTTGCTCAGCCGGCAACTGCCCCGGTCATGAAACAATGATAGGGTTCATGCATATGATCTAATCAATATGGTCCTTCAATTATGTGTATGCCTTTGATTGTCCAAACCCATTCGACCCTGGCGCTAGAAAGTGGAGCATAAGCTCAACATCACAGATCCGAAGAGATACATGTGCTCATTAGTTGACTGCAAACAATTCCGGGCACCTAGGTGCCATACTAATCAACTATATTTATGTAAAACGCAGTCCAAAGCAATGATACCCTAAACCATGTTGAGGGTCATGATCTGAAGACTCACCAGCGACTCGAGACACCCGCCAACAATGCCAAGTGGTCAACCGCCGATCTGAGTAATATCGAGCCCGAAAGCTGAATGGATGGTATCTCGCAGTGGGTATCGCATATGTATACAAACACCATGTATCAGATATTATTTTGCGGAAAATCTTGTTAACCCAGAAAACCAACCAATTTCCCGTCGACGAAGCACGCCATTGCCCACGCCATGAGGCGGCTACCCTGAGCCATGCCGCTGTGGGGATGAGGCACAGTTGTGGCAAACATACGAAGGTGAGCCACCCTTAATCTTGCGTGTTTTGCCATGTCTACGAATACAAAATACATCAAAGTTTCTATACATAACAGAGAAATTTGGCCACTGACGTTTGTTTACAAGTGATCCAACAGGCGTGCCAAGTAACAGGGTGTTCACTGCTGAAGACACACCGCCGCGAATAGCAGTCCTGGGGAGGTGCCATGTATGTTAGCTTTCGCTGTTGGGAACGCAATGAGCCACATGACTTGCAAGAATAGATGATTGTTTTACCTCATTCTTTTCAGTGATATGCGACAGTCGCCTTTCCTTCTCGTCGAAAAGCGGTTCGTTTTGGTGGCACTTTGAGCATGTACGAATGGGTACTACAAATTTACACATGATGCTATGAAGGTCATAGGTTAGATTGGCACCAGTCTTAAGAGTGAAAGTGCGCACCAATGCAAGTCTATGATGCGAGCAAAAATAGGGAGTTCAGTGATTTGGAGAAAGTAAAGCTCTGACAGACAAAAATGAGCGCGGGTGAGCTGAATATATAGGAAACGAAACTGTGGAACCATTGTTGAGCCTTTTGATCCGCAAAGGTCTCTATTGAGAGATGTGGGTGGTGCAGCGTACAATCGAAACACTGCATAGCCGCAGTGGACTGACCGAAGTGGACCATTTAGGGATTTGACCTATGACGTGACTACTAGAGAATAGTGATCCCTGTCTAGATCCTACGCGGGTATGGTACGCCCATCCATACACAATGTTAATGTGCCACTCAAGTTGCCTGAGTCAAAGCGTGATGGTACTGCGCAAAGGGAGTCAGGACTCAGCATCGAGAAGCTTCTGGCTCGGAAACGGTCGATTTAGAATCATCGCAAGTCATTTTTCTCACGCCCTTATTGGTGGAACAACTCTAGGGGACCCAGACCATCTCCCAAAACTATCGACATTCTCGTTTGTCTGAAGGCTCAACACATAATCCACTTAGGCCGTGGTGAAGGATAACGAAAATTTGTCTCATGAAATAGATGTGGTGCGTAATATTCTGCAAATGGGTGCATGTCTGGCGCTCGTGTATTATTGCATTCTTCATAGTGAAGATGGTCAATGTCTGATGGAGGGGAAACTTGAGGCCAAACCTCTCAAGGTGGGAGGTGGTAGTTGGTACTAGTTGTATCTCTCGAGGACGGACTACGACCAGCGGACTACATACCTGTGAGTCAGGACGTCTCTGGCCACTGCACCATGACCGCACCAGACCTGGTATGAGGCATTGGGACAGCAACACTCATCAAACATGGAGATTCCCCTCCGTTTGCCACCCACCGCGACTTATACGATACCATCGACTCAACTCCACTTGGTGACATTACTTGGGAGAGTTTTTCGATGTCATATAAGCAGTCTCATGAATATAACAAGAACATCTATGCCACATGTCACAGTACGACTCGACTTCTTCATAGATATTGTCCATCCATTTTTGGCCTTCGCCCGTATAAGAGCCTGCGCAATGGTCACATCTAAAATTTGTACAGGCACGCTTCAAAGCAAATTTGTCTCTTCATCGCTTTGGTGTCAGCTGCACAATCATGATGATTTGACGGATGGAACACACCTCACGCAAAATTTAAAGCTCCTATCATCCATGTCGTGAGGGAGATATCTGTGGGAATACTGCCAAAAGCACGGTCCGATCTCCAAAAGTTCCTGTGCATTCGCGTGGCCAAGAGAGCTTGAACAACAACCTCAGACCTGTGTCGAATGTATCAATAATTTTATCCAAAGTGAGCATGGACAAACTCTAAAAGCATGTGTCCAACTGTAAACTACGTCTCTTGTTAATGAGGTGACTTTGAATGTATGCGTTAACTCACTGGAAAGAAAACTGTGCTGACAATGACGCTGACAGCAAAAGCTGGAAGATTTAGCAAGTAAATATATCAAATCGTTTGTAAGCACCAACCAAAGCCGCAGCTACAGTACAGCAGATTATCTTTCATGAGACCACGCATAAGGCGGTTGTCCATGCCCCAGCCACCAAGACCTTTGACGCGATACCACAGAAGTAATAATGTTTCTGAAATTATGTGCATGCAAAGGCACGCAGTCAGTTCCAGCTCATGTTAGCAGCAGCTCTCAATACGAACGCAGCTCAGCCATAGCCAGCAAGCCAAACGCTACATATATTCTGGTGCTTGTCTCCGTATCCAGATATCCGGTAACGCCAGGGATCCAGCATGGCTCTGTATGTTAGAGGTAAGGAACCAAGCAGGCGAAGAGTCCAACCCGAATATCTACATACCTGAGACTCTCGAGTTAAACTGTTGCATGCTGACAGTAATTGGCACTAAATAGGCCTGAAAAAGACGAATCAGATCTCGTTACCTGGAGTTGGTTATAGTGGTCTCACAACAACTGCAAAAGTCTCCAACGCCGCGAACCATCTCTCCCGTTCCCATACTGCATATGCCCTGACCACGAAGATGCCTGAATTCGGTGTAAACGCAGAATGTCTGCTGAATAGCACGATTGGTGGACCTACACTCAGCACAAGTCATCGTCATTATCCCTATATCTGATGAAGCATTGAATATGGTGTCAGTACATGTCTGGCGAAGTAGTACCAAACTGACAGGTATTAGCGATATTATAAGAGCGGCAAAGCTATGATTGAGATGGGTTGAATTCTAATATCTGCGACTCTTCGACTTGGTTGCACATACATGAAGCGGGGCATCAGGCTGAAAAACCACTGAAAGTGATCGTGAAACATCACAATATGAGAGAGGTAAAAATGAAATTCTGTACCGAACACTTACCAAGCATATTCAATAACATGAAGACAAGTGGCAAGTGGCTGCAAGTTAGATACAGAAATGTGCTGAGTCCCCATCGAGAATTGGCGAGAAAGTTGACCTGCATCGACTACAAATCAGAACACTCTTGGAAGCTCGAAAATTTGTACTTGCCGTATCGGGCAGGCACAGTATGTAGTCATACACCTTGGTATTCAAATCAAACATAAGTTTCTGCCGATGACCCGGTAACTTCTACTAGCATAGCTCACCCAAAGCGTCATGAGTGCAACTATCGGGAAAGATAACATGAAGGGATCAACCATTCAAGTCGAAAGACTGATCATGGAAAACGACTGCACCATATATGTACTGAGATGAGGGCCCGTCAGTGATTTGAACTCGATAGCAGGACTTGCACTCACGTTGAAGCCTGGGAGCGTGTCAACTTGAGTCTCTTGCCATGAAGAACTCATGCCGACGCATAACATCGCTATAGCTGATCGATATAAGAGATGATATACGGAAATCTGCGAGGCCATTACACCCATGTTCTCACACGAACTAATGATGGGCGATCCGTAAATATTAATTTTCCGGTGATAACTCCCCGACCCCGGGCACTAACCATTCCTTGATAAGTTTCATCATTTGCATTTGCACGTACAAGACGATCGATTCCTTCTTCAATTGGCCAGATCCTTCAATCCCGCCATCTGGTAGTAGAAAATAAGCTCGCATCAAACATTCCAAGATGCCGCGGCGCACCTAGGTCCCACATTTACCGCGCTCTTAAGAAGGATGTTTCTCCCGATAAACAGGAGTCGGACATAAAAAAAAAGGGGTGCCTGTCAATGCAGCAAGGGTCGCCTTGTCTTGACGATATTGATCGAGTGATTCTGGAGATGAGTCTAGGATAATCAGAAGAAGCAGCGTTATGTGATGGACTTGGTATTTCGTACCTAAGATATGCATATGGAAACGTCATGTGCCAGATCAAATTGTTTGTAAGAAATATACTAAACAGTGACCTAGCAAACCTACTAGTTTCGCGTCCGCGGGGTATACTTACGACCTAGACCTAGTAAGCGTGTGGTGGCTGCAATGACTCGGAGTACAAATGTGAGCCACCGTAAATCCTGCGTATCTGGCCATGTCTGCAGAGCACGAAACACGTCAGACCGTCATCTACATTGGATAACAGATTATCTTGCCACCGACACTTGTTTGCACGTGTGACGTGGGCAAACAGAAGATGCAGACATGCCACAACGTTAGGCTGTATGCTCGCTGTCAAAATTCATAGTGAGAATAGTGGGGATTCCATATGCTGTGGGAAGCAATGCGGTGAGCTCTCAGCGTAGATTTTAATTATTACGGTACTTGGAAGTTTCATTTCTTGACATTCTTTCTCGACACCTGGTCGAAAAACGATGCGTTTGACCGGCACTTCGAGCAAGTGCAAATGGGGATCATAAATCACACACCTACAAACGGACACTAGTAAGTTCCGACAGAACGCGCACCAATACGGACTGGGACTTACAATATATGATACAAATAAAACAGTCAGCCAAAGGATGCGAAAAAGCAGGTGAGATAAAGACATGACAGACGGAACCAGCTGTGAACCAGCCATCGAATCCCTTGACTTTCCATTTTTGCGGATGGCCTGCAGTTCAATTGAAGCGCCCACTACAAGCCTACAATGGGCCAAAGTTACCTCCCAAAGTGATTAGATCACGGCACAGTCACAGTAAGTTAACTTCTGACTGCGCAATACCCATTACTAAAATTTCACATTGGGCTCGGACTACGGCCGGCTGCTGAGCGAACAGGAGCGTCCCTACGGAGCCCGAGTCGGATGCGAGATTTTACGGTAAGATGAAGTTCATCGCATGCTGTCAAGGTCATGGTCAGCGGAAGGCTTGTAAACGAAATCTGAACTGGAGTTCTGGATGAGAAAGCGAATAACTTGAGAATGTATAGACGAGGGGGAATCCTCTAGAATATGCCTTCCCAGGATGCAGCATGAATCGACGCAAGATAACTCAGGCATAATTTGAATCTGTGTTTGTGAGCGACAATACTGTAGCGGCCGATCCTGTGTTGTGATTTGTGGATGAGCGCTGCATCGACGCCGCGTCATTTCTACCTGGGTTGACCTGGCCGAGACTCGGAAGGAGATGACCTCAGTGGAAAAAAAAACATGATCCAACACAAACACGTGTATACGTATACAACATCATATGATGCCATTCAGTGGGAGTTTCTGGCGTTGTCCCTACTAGGCTGGAACTTTGGTTAAACTCTCTTGCTTACCAGTCCGACGTCGCCTGCTGCCGCAGCACTACTTTGTTCTCTTCTCCATCACTCCGTATCTCGTTGGTGCTCTATTTGCATATAGGTAAGTAAGTCTGTTAAGCTAGTTCGGGTGAGCATGCAGATGAAGCATGTTAAGTTCGGTTTAGTATAAATGCCAGTCATGCTCTCCCGAGTATTGACAGTCCTTGCTGTATTATTAGTATGTGTTTAGTCCAAGCAATGAGATTGTGTCTCATTTTTTACAGGCAACATTTATCTATCGGAGTGGTCGTCTTGTTAAACATGGCATCTTCACTCTTCCTGCACTACCATCATCATACTATGTCAATGGCGATGTCCATACGCACTGCACAATTCTTCAAGAGCCAGCTCATACCCTTGATTACTGCGAAGACATGACTTTCTGGGACCACCTGGATGCAGATGGGCACTGTAACTGCCCGTTTCATTATAGCGGGATGCGACCCTAACCGCAAGGCATGGAACACAGTCATGGGTCCCCTGCGCAATCCCGAACCAAGGGCCTACCTTTGGCTGGTTG